TAATCTGGTCTCTTTAGTGTAGCCCTCGTCCGTCGTTAACCTTCATTACCCCCCCCCTCCCCCCACCCCCACCATCACTACATCTACAACAACAAATGTATCACTTAGGTTTTCCTTTCTACGCCCCTTTCTTCGGTCTTGTTTAAAATTACCAAGTGATCTCTCAGTTATGTATATGTTTTTTTTTTTTACAATCCGTATTCTCTTACAACACTTCATATGTTATATTTGTTAAAATAGGTAGCTTTAAAATTGTGTATTAATTGTCTTGCGGAATTCTCATTTGTAGTTTGATATTAATCATTTAATATTTTTAAGTAATTCGTTCATCATCATCATCATCTAACAAGTTTGTTCAATATTTATTTTGAGGAAAATCGCGTGTAATATTACCAGCAAACTTGGAATAATTGTTTCACGAATTTAAACATTTATTTATAGCCTTGTCATATATAGGTAAACTAGCTGTACCCGCGGGCTTTGCCCCGTTTAACTTCATAAGTATTCGCATGGCTCATTCACGTCCTGGTTGAAGTTCGTTCGCTACGCTCACTCACCTTTAGGTTGGAGCTCGTTCACTGCGCTCACTTGCCTTCAGGTTAGCTCGTTCGCTACGCTAACTCGCCTCCAGGTTGAAGTTCGTTCGCTACGCTCACTCACCTTTTGGTTGGAAATTAGCTGTGCTGCACCCTGTTGGTAATCCTTGTAACTTTTATGCTATTGAACATCATAGAACAGAACCAACTTGTTTAATTGAAACAGCTGTTAAGATTCATTAATTCATTTTAAATATGAAAAACCATAAGGTTAACATGGGGAACTACACAGCCACTGGGGCGGAGCCCGAAAGGATTTTTGGGATAATAATATGCTTTAATGTTAATCGGGTATCATCATGCCAAATTTCAGCCCAATCCGTCCAGTAGTTTATGCGTGATTGAGCAACACACACACACACAAACTTTCAGATTTATAATATTAGTAAGATTTAGCAATAGTAGAAATTCAATCTGTTGTAGTGGTTAAGTAAGTTAAAATACTAACAAACACTTACAAGACGCACCACGTTTATTAGAAGACATGTGTTATTTTAATTAGATACTAGAACCGTTACATTGCGAACTGTGTTATTAAATACTTAAAGAGCAAGTAATATTTCATGTGTATTATTAATACAAAAAGGTTGTGTACACTTGTTTTATATTAGGCACTAAACAAAAATGGAACCAGTTACATGAGACGTGCTCTCAAATATTGTTTAGCTGATAAAAACTCCAGTACATATCTTGAGTTAACGTGCTCAACCTAAAACATCTGTGACATCCTGGATGGTTATGCAAAAACAAGTTCAATGTATTGATCATTTGTCTGCTTTTTTATAGTTTTAAACTAATGAAAACGATTTCAATGATCACAGAGGACAGGTAATTTATTTAGAATCGTTTTATAAATTCAAACGTACCTCTAAAAGCTAACTACGAGTATAATTGTAGTGTAATTTCCATGTAATTACTATTATATGATTGGTAAACTAAAAGCTTCACACTTTTAAGGAATAATGTTTTACAATATTATTAAATATTTACTTGCATGTTAAACCACACAGTCACGTTACATGCAGCACAACAATTATCTACCAAAAGTGCAAAACCGATGAAGTTTAGTACCCCAAACTTTAGTCGCGCCAAGATTGCCTTGCTTGGATCCCGTGTCCCTCGAGGCGTAAAGCGTTGTAAACAAAGTTTTACAATTATGTTGTTTGGGTAAAACTTGAGTGCAAATATGTTTAAAACAACTTTGCTAAGTGACGCCCAAAGCGGCGACTTTAAGCCAAGTCCTGCAGCGAGTCGTGATGCTTGTCTTAATCAAATTCTAAGATGTAATTCTTAAAACTCGCAACTTTTTCACCAAGCAAAAGTAAGTTTTGTAAGTTAGACTTCAAAATACAACTGTTGGAAGAATTCGTGTCCAATTAAAATGTTATTTTATACTTTTGTGTGAGTATATTTTACTTGTATCCTCGTCCTTTTGAACAAAATGTACAGTGTATAGTAATGACTTTAAAGTTAAAAATAAATAAAAGAATCCATGATATTCCATTTAAGATTATCTTGACACGCCTTAATTGAGCGAAAACGCATTGAAGTACACTCAATGTGTGTTTGTAAATATAATTTGGTAGTAAGCGTATACACGTATTTTTGTGCATCATTTCTCCTTGAGACGGTCCTGAGCACCCTGGTGGATTATACATTCAAAAGAGGTGGTATAGATAATACTAGGTGAACCCGTGCGAATTCGCACGAATAATAAATTGGGATATTATAGCAACGTAGTTAGAAGTTGCGTCGTTGTATCGACTTTGGTCTTAGGCTCGATCGTTGGATATATGCATTCTAAGTTCTTTTTGCTGCCAGTAGGAGTATTTTGCAGGACGGAGCTCATAATGCTGAAAACTTGCGCGTATGAATTAATATCAACCAATTGATGAGTCAAAATGTGCAAGAGTTCAGTGCTGCAAGAGCAAATTTGTTTCAACGTCGTCGATATAAATTTGGGCATATGTGGGATGCTCCCCTTCTGACGGTTGTAAGGTGCCAATTGAGTGATAAATTGTGTCGTGCACCTTATACATGAAAGGCCCTCCACCGTTACGTTCTTCAATTTTACCTCGAGTGCTGACCATTGCGAGCGCAGAGTTGTACGATCTAATGTTCTCTTTGTAGTTTCTGCTCAAATGATTTGCTCCATTTAAGTAGGCTCTGAATATAATACTTCTCGGTATGGTGGTAGATTCATGATTCCTTTATGGCAGCAGGATGACAATCCTTCGCCTCGTCCTCTTTGTTCTTCTTTAAAAAATGTACCGCAGCACATTTCTTACATTTTAATGCCATCTCGCCAAGTGAATGCTGGTGAATTCTTGTATTTGTCAGTGTAATTTTGTAGTACACGTTGTCACTAACTGTTGTTCCAGCTCCTCGTCTGGGCTCCTTACGTTTTGCATTGCTTGCCGTATGTTGACTCGCCGTGTCCGACCAGCAATATTTCTATGTCGTCGGATCCTTGGCATGTTTAAACGAAAATATAAACCTTTCTCTATATGGGTAACATTTCTTTGCCGGGTATCTAATTATTTTTAAAAACTTGCAAACTGTTTACATTTCAAAACCAAACAAAAAAGCTGGGATTTATTTTTTTTTACTAATGTATTGACATCTGTTTCGGAATTTTATAATAACATTCAAATCAATCACAATGTTATCCTTATAGAAGGAACTTTGAGGGCACCCTACGCCCTTAAAAAGATATATTTCGAAAATCTAAAGCCAGTTTGCACATCTACACACACCTAGACGAACATTTTGGTATATAATATGTGGGGTTAAATCTTAAAACAAAAAAGCCTTATTGTTCACAAAGTTTCATGTCGCGTATTAAATATATAGATATATTATAACAAATCGAAGAGTCCAGCTACCTCTTATTAATGTTTACTACAATCTTAGCATTCTGTGTTTAATTCTGGTAAAATAACAATCCTAATTCAAAATTAAAATAAAATACAGCTATGCACATGTCCAATTGGCATCAAAGTGGCTTTCTGCAGACATATGATTCATTTTTTTTAAACCCTCTGAACTGATCTACAATGAATTAAATCATTGTTCTGTATCAAAGATAAATGGAAAATCACTAAAGCCAGGTCCAGATGTCCAGTTGAAGGTTTAGGTCTGAGGCGCACAGTCGGTTACCCACATTGTCAGAGTAAATTGACTGCAAACCTGCAATTTGACGCCTACCACAGTGTAATTCACCGCTACAATACTACAATACTGTTGTTAGTCTTGTAAAGGATGAATCACGAGTGTGTCCTTTACTGCTTCACCGTCGTTGTTGATATAGCGAAGCAAATATCACTTTAATGTCACAAGCTGTGCAGTAGTATTCATTGAGATAACAGTTACTGTGTAATGTATACGTTATGAAGTTATGTAGGATGTCTTAAAGATGTTTAGTACTTTGAAAATGATCAGTTGGCATAAACAAGATAAAAAGGTTATAATAAATAATTATATTTTCTAAATCAAGCGTATGAATACAAAAATATGAGTGTACAATAGAGAGAGTACAACTATAACTAACTATAACAACTATAACGTATAACTTTGAAGAAGAGGTTTTTATTACTGATTATTCTCATATTTTAACAATTTTACATACATGACATATATAATACAATTTCCTTTTTATAATATATTGTATTTTATTTTTTCATCATAATCAACGTTAAATATTTTATAACTTAACTGATAATTAAGGATTGCATGTTATATTGACGCTATACCAAGGTGATTATAAGTGGGCCAGCTGTTTTATTCGAAAACTATAAGAGATATAAAAAAAAAGTTAAATGGTAAGTGCCTAGGATTTTTTATTTTTAAAATTGTTGTCAAGTCGAAAAAAATATTTTAGCCGCCATTTTTTCAATATGGCCGCCAACATTGATTTTTCTTACGGAACACCCGTATTTTATGATGTATTCCGGTAGAAAAAAACTTAATTTTAAGACAATTTTACTCTTGCGTTTTTTTTTATTAGCCTAACCGTCTCAAAGATAATAATGGTTAAAGTTGTGAAATTTAGAATAGTTCTTAAATAAAACAGCTGGTATGCTTGCTTAGGCCTTTATCGAAACTCTTTCTCATGACGAAATTGGCAGCCATATTGGAAAAATGGTGGCTAAAATATTTTTTTCGAATTGTCTGCAATTTTTTTATTAAAAAATACTTACCATTCAACTTATTTTGATATCTTTTATAGTTTTCGAATAAAACAGATGGCACACTTATATCAATCACCCTGTATTAGTTTCATGTAATCATTGCGAGATTGCTATCGATAATCAAAGCTGTATGTAGTATGGACAACAAATTATTGGTTACTAATAAATATTATTTCAGAATCATCTTCACTATAATCTTAAACCTTTGTTGCAGGGTCGGCCGGGTGACAAAGGACAAAAAGGTGAATCTGGAAGTCCAGGCTTCGACGTCTACGCAGCTGTCAAGGTATACAAAATAGCGCTTAAATGCGTTCACATATAGTGTAACGCATAGCTCTACTGTGCTATAGATTTAAAACCTATTTCATTGAATATATATATATATATAAATCTTGGGTTGTCCAATTTGAAAATATGTTTAGTAGTATTAAACATATCAAATTAGATTTGTCCACTACAGAGTTTTGTATTGCCGACATTTATACAATGTTTTGTATGAAATGTATGATACAGCCTATGTAAATACGTGTATATAACATAAGAAACTTGTAATATGTATTATTTTTAACTTTTTGGTAACAAACACCACTTTTTAACCCAAATCAATCTACTCACATTTCAATTATTCACTTTCGCTGCACATAAAAACGCTCAAATAACCCTTTATGAATTCCAACGCTTTAAATGAGCTCCCATCGTTCGGATAAAACCCCGCATTTCTCACCCGAGCGTTTCCACCAAGTCCCTGCGATGAATGGGAGAATTAATTTCTCCGATTAGCTGCGTCGACACTCGTATGAATCATTCCCAACATCCGTGTCGGTTATTTACTCCGGGAGTCGGAAGAGTATTTTTACAGTTCATATGCAGTGACATATTAACAGCTCGCTTGTTTGCTGAAGAAACATCTTTACGGCTGTGTTTTGGGGCTGGTATGTGTCTAGACGCGGTATTTCGGGAGGCTTTGTCCTTTCTCGTGTTCCAATATCTTGTTGAAACGGTTTGAGTGCTTTCTTGATTCTCGGCCGTTTAGAGCTGTCTATTTTTGTGTAAATACTTTTGACAGCCGTTGGAGCAACGCCCAAACGTGCTCGGGTGGATTACACGGATACACTATGTAGAATTTACACAATGCTACACTTTCAATAAATTTCAAAATGTATATCACATGTATATGCGAACACGTTTCACATTTGAATACACACTAAAATACTGGCATTTCTTAAACAATAGTACTTTAAGTAGGTACCATGTGATCATTCTCCTTTTAGGTCTTAAGATTAAAGATTAAATTCAAATGCCTTTATGTATATATTGACATTATATTTTGTGAATACGGAATAAAAGTAAATATAAGGAGTTCAATTTTTCATCCAACCGATTTTACGTAAATTACGAAACCTAAAATCTGTGTCTATGACCAAATATATTGAAGTGGACATGTTCGTTCACCTCAGCAAAATTCACACACAGCTAATCCTTCCAAGCCAGTCATTCCAAAGTAAATTTGTCAACAAATTCATAGCTCCAGTGTTACTGTACTAAGGTTAAAACCAATCTACATAAACTCACCCAATGAATGTGTGGCTTACACCTACGTATATCCTCTGTGAGCTTGGTACATTTAATGTAACCTATAAGTGTGTTTCCAGGGCCTAAAGCGGTCAGTGACGACGCTGCGGGGCGGAACCCTGGGCTACGCCGAGATCGTAGCAGTCAAGGTGACCGAAGACATCCGTGGATTGGTGGTCGTCGCATGCCGTGTGTGGGGAATACGTGTTGAAACTGACAGTTGAAAATCAATTCAAATGCAATTTAATTTTGCACTGGGACAATAAAAACCCCTAAAACAAAAACATACAATTATGTTTCAAAGTAGATCAATTCACATCATGGTTATCTTATTACACTATGGTTTGAGTATAGAAAATCTACTGTTGACAATGTGTTAAGATCATTCACTTTTGAAATTAAAGAGTTATTAACTAATTAATTATTTTAAAAAGTTTTTAACTTCAGACCATCTACACAGGTTTCGAAAGTATTTTTCTCTGATAGATGAGTTTATTTTGTACAAACTCTTTCCTGTAAGTTTCCTGTTTCAACACGTATTCCCTGTGTAGTATTTATCGTTTCATTTAATATTTATTTTCCTTTACACAAGAGAGGTAGCTACAACTACAACCCCGGGGTTGAAGCTTAACTGTGGAGCGATCCCTCAGCTAATTTATCTGCCAACTGTATTTTGATGGTTCATGAATAACTGGGTGCAAACTCGACCGGATCGAGTTATTGTTTCCTCAGGAAACATCCGAATGCAAATATTTGGGCATAAATTAAAACAGATTATCAAGACAATAAAGTTTGCAGCTACCTCTCTGTAGGTTAGCAGAATTGCTGGTTAACTCCTTCTGTTTTGTTTTCTTTACTTTCTCCTTGTTTTCTTTGTTTTAATTTTGGTTGCCCGTGGTTGTAGGGGCTGCAGGAGCAAGGTCATAACATTTCTGCCCAGACCATCGTTACCTTGAAAGTAAGTTTAGTGGTAAAGGCGTCGCCTGCTGATATAACATGGGTTTGGATATAACAACATAAGCAATTAACCCTGCAGGTTGTGCTAGTAAAAACATATCGTAACTCTTGCCATCCATTGCTTTTAGGATCTTTCAATAAGAAAAATAAGTTTAAAATGTGACGATTAAAAATTTTGTATTATATATTAATAGTAAATTTTTACTAAAACTTTATTAGCTATTTCCTCGCTCACCAATTTTATTTCCACAGAATATTCGTTGAGAAAATCTTTATAGATACTTGGAAATGCGAAATGCTAGTTTTTTATGATTACCGTAGGCTATATATTTAATTATCATTTATATCTCCTAATGTTTTTGTTTGGTTTCTATTTTATTTTGTTCGTTGAAAATACTTTTATTTTTTCATTCTTCCTATTCAAGTTGTAGATTTAGTCAATGGCTTTTGCACGAATATTTTACTTGAGTATATTTCATGTTATACTGTAGTGTATGTTGTTTGTCACCTTATTGTGTAGAAGTAATTCATACTGGTTATCAAGTATTGTAGTACATAGTACTTGTCAAAGAATACCTCTTAATTTTCATGATTGTCTAGTAATTAGTTAGGTACATACGTTGGTAACCGTAAAACTGAAGAGAAAGTGATATGATATAGTATGATGAGGTCTATGTTCATTTTGAAATTTAATTGAAGTAGGTATTACAATTCATGTTCATATATTTTATAAATGCTTTGTATTTATTTCTCCTATAATATTCCATAACCTGCCAAGCTTTTGCTCATACAATTCCATAACAAGCTAGTATTTACATTTACACTTCTTTTCATGAACAACAGTAATATACATGTCTTTACACCCAAGTTTCACGTTATCCAGGGAGAGCCAGGTGAGCCTGGACCGCCGGGACCTCCGGGACCACAGGGTCCTGAGGGACTCCCTGGACACGACGGCAGACAGGGTATACCAGGAGAACCGGGAGCGCCGGGAGAGAAGGGATCGCCGGGTCCTGTAGGGCCTATGGGACCTCAAGGGGAACCTGGAGTTGCTGGACTTAAGGTGAGTCACCTTCAATCAACTATTAGTTATATAATTCCAATGTTATTGATTATTTCTTAATTGATAGCAGCTGTGGGACTGAAACCAATATTTTTGAAGCCTTTGCCTTCGTCTCTAACGTGGCAAGTTGTTGATAGATTGTGTGATTATGAATCAGCCTGATTATATTCATGTTTAAAGTCTTGCAGAAATATGAAACTCCTTCCTATATTTTTAAAAAGCAGATTAGCCAATAAAGTTCAAATGGGGCGGCTTAGTTAGTTATTTAGAGGCAATTGAGGCAAAGAGCACTTATATATTAATCCTAATGTCACCCATAATGTAAATTTATTTATAAAACATTCACATCTAGATTTGCATTCGTATTAAATTTTCTAAAAATTTAGTTATCTAAAAATATTTTGGTTTCATAAAAACAGGGATTATTTTTTTTTTTTCTGAATTAACAAAAAATTAAATACTTGAAATTGGTGAAACTTTATGAAGCATCTCAAAGATTTGCCATAAAACTTATAAACTAAAGTCACACGGCTCAATAATCAGCCAGTTAACTGCAGTTTCTGTATTTGCTTTTGGCCAATTTCAGGGAATGAAAGGAGAGAGGGGACACTTGGGACCTCCAGGTTTCCCTGGACTTCCAGGATACAGAGGACTTCCTGTGAGAAACTTTGTCTCTGAAAAATCTTTCAGTTTGAAATATTTTCTCGTTAAAACGTATTTTATTGAGATTTGATCTTACCATATTCAACAATTGATTAGGATAGTCATCTATATATATATAGTATATATATAGGATAGTATGATCCTCATCTATTCAGTTTAACACTGTTTTCATTTGATTTAAATACTGTAGTATCCGTTTGATAAAATCATCATCAAAAAATTATTAAATATTCTGCGCTTGTATGGTTTTCAAAATAATATTAAGAATTCAGATTTTAAATATTTTAAAGATTTCATTTGTTTATCATTAAATTTGTACGTGATGGTCAAAAATACGACCATTAAAACAAAACAAAAAAACATTAGACGCATTTCATTGATTTATTTTCTAAAATATTTGCTTGGTTACCTTTTGACCTTAAAAATATTTCAAGCTGATGTTTTGGGATTTGAACGTAGTTTAGCGGGAGGTGGAAAGGAGCCTGTCTTTCAGCAATTTTTGTTTTGGATCTTCATCTCACACTTTTCAGGACATCTGGTGGCTGGGGACTAACAACTGGATGTTTTCGTCTTCTGTTTTATGTGACTAACCATTTGTCTTTTAGTGGTGATTATAGAAGGGATTTTATGCATGGAACATGTTTGTTGTATGTAGTTAAGATCTTAGATAAGCTATGTCTTAGAATAACATCCTATTTATATTTAAGATACACTGTATTTGATTGAAAAATCATTCTGATCCGACTTAACAAATTATATACAATTAGAAATTGAGTAATTGATTAGTAATTGAGAGTTAGTTATGTTCGTCTCAATAAAAAAAAAAAAACATGATACTTTGTAATTCATAAAATTGATTAATTTTGTATTCAATTATGAAATGTTTAGTAATATCTCAAAAAGAGTAGCTTTAAGGCAGTGAATAATAACCAGATTTAAAAAAAGTCTTTATTAGCTTTACTATATTGGTTCTATAAATGTCACTGATAATTGTGTTCTTATATTTTAATTTACACTATATTAAATTATGTATCCCTGACTAGGTATTTTTAATTCAATTTACGAATTGATATCTGTTCAATCACAAATAAGTTCCCGAAGTCATTTGCAGTAAGAGAAGGAAATTAGTTTGGTTTCAGGAATTAAGTCATGGCCATAATTCGCAGAGAGGACAATCATAACCAATCCAGTTGTAGAAGCCATCGAACTTGCTGGCTTCAGTAATATGTCTGACTAAATTAAATTGTAATTTCACTTGAAGACTAATATTAAAGTCAAAATTATAGGTATACCAACCGAACAAGACTGTTTTATTGTTTCGTCAGTAGTCAGATTTGTAATGAATATTTCTTCAAAAGTGTAGATTTTAACTCTTGGTATGAATTATGAAGAATTTAATAGTATGAATTTACTAGTCCCTTCCAATTTTTACACTAATAATACAAATTAAAAAAGTCGGGAATTCTATTAATAATTGGCGGATGAATTACTAGTCTAAACAGTTTAATTCTAATTTTTAATTTTCCCTCTTTATAAACGCTATTAGATTCAAAATAATTGTTCATTTAACTGTAAAACTTTTTGATTATCGATAAATACTCATAGTTAATTAGTCATTCTTAAAAAATTCTAATAATATTTTAGTATTATAAATAACACTTAAAATACATCACACACATAAGGCTAGGAAGACGATAAAAGTCACAATTTCGTAATACTAGATAGTAGAGAAAAATCAGTCTAGAACAATACCTCAACGTTTAAATTTGATTTTCTTAAAAAGTACTTCTTCTGTAGCATTAAAAAACTTAGCTTTTTACGCTCTGTTCCAGATAGCATTTCTACCTTAATAGATCTAAACTTGTTTAAGAACCAGGTTTTTGACTAAAAATCTATTGACGATTAAAAGCTATTGTCAACGTTAATCAAAATGTAATAAAATATATCTAACATAATAATTTTGTTTGCAGGGTGACAAAGGTGATAAAGGTGAGCGAGGGTTGACGACGACGTTGAATGGAGACCAGTTCCCGACAGGAATCATCGAGGGTCCTCCTGGACCTCCTGGACCACCAGGTGGGCGTTGTACAGTCTGTACAGAGGTAACTGACCTGGGAGAGAACAGTCTATCGTCCGCTAAAATAAAAATGGAACACTTGAAAACATTATTAAAAATACTTCTCGAAAATATACCACTTTTGATACACTTTAGAGGGATGTAAGTTGTGTTATTCTTTTGTAAGAAATGGGAGACCTTGAACAAACTGCAATGTTTGAAACATTTGTTGTCAACTTTAGTAAAGTATTAAGTAGAGGGAAAGAGAAAAATTGTCAGGAAATGAAAACTGTAGTTCTTACTTAAGCTCCACCCAGCTCGGTTCTCTGTAATTTGTAATTGCATGTGTTGGGATCTATGGAAGTGAATAATAAGTCGGAACTGTCATGAGTTTTAACCAACTTTGATTTATTGTAACTTTATTTTTTATCTTAATGTTTTTACTAACATAACTTATATAAGATGTTTAAGATTTTATGTTCAAAGTTTTATGTTTGCTTTTCTTTAACATCTTCTATTTAAAAGTAACATTATTTTGATTTCCCCACTGTATTATTATTTCAGTTTTAAAAATTTACCCTCATAAGCAGCTTCATAAATTTGATGGTTGAATTTGAAATATGTAATTTAACCAAGCATTACTAAAACATAAAACATATTTTGTCCTTGTCTTAAAGAGATTATTGTTATTTGCAATTTTTTGAGCTCAATGTTCCAATAGATATCTTTGAATCATTTGATTTACTTTGAGCTTACAGTGAAAATCATTATACTTCAGTAACTCCTCAAACCTTTGCAAAAATAATTTTGATGTAAATATACATATTTTCTGTATTGAATAAGAAAGTTTTTTGACTATTACCTTAAGAATTTTTTTCATAAACCAGGATTATTTACCAATCTATATACAAAATAATTTAAATAAAAAAGAACAGAGATTCTAGGTTTTTACCATAATTTATTCTCTCAAAACGATAAATTTTACAAATCATAGAAACAATTAGGTGTAGCTTCTATACGGTTTTAGCGAATTTCCCTATAGGGAAGTAGCTATTACCGTAGGTGGCACGGTAAGACCAAGACCCGGGACCGATTTACTATTTTATTTTGATGTCCCCAGAGGCCAAAAACACCATTCGTTCAAATTTTTATATATGTCTATATATATATATATATATATATATATATATATAGACTTAAATATATATATATATACGTCCGTGAACGCGATAACTTGAGTAATTTTTGTCCGATTTTGATGAAATTTGGTTTAGAGGTGTAAAACGGGATAAACTTGAATGAGTTCGCGAACCAGCACGATCGGACCATGGGAACGGGGCTTTACGGGGGGTTTTATGGGGTAAAAATTGGTTTTTCTCACTTTTGACCCTCAAAACACAAAATTTCCCTATTTCTCTTTAGACCTTTTTAAAGAGCTTAAATAAACAAATAATTTAGTATATAAAAGTATTTTTGTTCAATTATTAGTAACGGAGAAAATTAAAAAAATTTTAAATTTAAAATTCCCATGTTATTCTTATAGAGAATATTGTAAAATGTTGTAGTTTGCTTGTTTATGGATATATTTTGATCCAACTTAGCAAATTTATTTATTTTGTACTAAGCTATCAATATTTTACTCAAAAACACGTTTTATTAGTTTCCTTGTAGCAGCAAACCTAGGTACTCGTTAAACCTAATTTTATTAAAATATATTTAACTGAAAATCAATTCAGACAGATGGAAATTAGCTTAGTCGGCAGGTTTGCTGCGGCGGGGGTATTTTTTCAAAACAACACCCTTTAAATTAAGTTTTAAAATAATCTAAAATCACATTTGCCCCCCTCCCAATTTTTACAATTATTTTATTACTTTTTTGTTTTTTTATTCTTTAGTTACTAAGTAATTGTTAATGTGGATGAGCGGAAAGTCTAACTGTGTTGAAGGGACACCAGGCGCCAGGGGGGACAAGGGGGATCTCGGTCCCACAGGCCCCCCCGGAATGCCAGGAGAGAAGGGGGCTAGAGGCAAACGTGGCAAGAGGGTAAGTCAAAAGGGGACTCTGTACCCTGGAATGTGCATGGACCTCTCGAATGAGTGCTGCTTGGTGCTTCAAGGCAATGCGATTGAGCAGTAAAGTTAAAAAGGTTAAATAACAGTATTACCTAAATGTTCTAAAACCACAATCAACAGACTCATAATATACGATTATACTCAATAAAAGTGTACTCAGAGATTTAAAATTGAATGAAGTATTTTAAAACGCATGTCTGAATCTTGCTGCATTTTTATTTCAGTGCATATTTGCATTTTATAGATGTAATTAACTATGTTACGTATTATTACTAGGTATATTTTACTTTATTTTACGTTGTGGTAATTTATTATCTTTTTAAGTGGTTCATTATGTATCTTGAATATATTTTTATAGTTTTTTTAAGTAAAGAAACATTATAGTTATTTGGATTTTGTATATTTACTTTTCAAAAGGAAACTTCCTTTAAGACCCTGAGAATGGGAGGAAAGGTTCTTGCACAACAATAATACATGTAGCCTATACCTGATTTTATGATATTTTGAACAAAAAAAATACTTTTTGTATTTTCTTAAAAAATATAAGTACCTGATGCAAAGTATCCCATCTTAAAAGTTTTTTTTTTTTTTTTTTTTTTTTTTTTTTTTTTTTTTTTTTTTTTTTTAATATGGTCTATAAAATAGTTTACATCATTAGTTGTTTTTCATAAACAATTAATACAAAAAATGTAAATATTTAACTGACAACTTTCAACTTAAAAATTGAGTCATTGTTAGGATTGTTTAAATATTGTAATATTTTCCCTAACATCCAAGGGGGTGGTCGGAAAAAACTAACAGTTTATTATAATCAAACGTCACCTACTAATATCACATAGCTTTGCCCACTACATTATTAACTGTGATTAACAATAACGTAAATATATATTTGTAAACAATACCTTATCATAACTGAAACAAAATCATATTTTTGATACTGATATCGTTTTTACTAAAATTTAGCAAGTTTTGTATTGTAATTTTTATTGATAAATATTTCAATAATATCTTTCTAGATTTTTTTGTAAAATAGTTCATAAAAATAGATTTTTTGAAACTAAATTAAAAAATCTGTTATAGTAATTTCAAAATAATGCAATAAATTATACTGTAACTAAAAATATCAAGCTGATAAAAACTTCATTATTTCTATTTTAATGTTTGATAAATTTATTTATTTAAATGTTGAATGTCCTTGAACTTTTTGTAGCATTTCTTATTTTACAATATTAATATTATTCAACATTCAATTATTTTACAAAAGGCAATAACAGCCATAATTTTTTTTTTATTTCATATTATTTATGTTTAAAAAGTTTAATTCAAGTAAATAAATGTACTATTATATTGAAAAAATATTAAATTTATAATATTGTAATGCTGTCAATTTAATTTGTTTATGATACTTTTAAGATAAAAGTACGTCTACCAATTCAGATATAAATATATAAATAAAACATTTAACTCTATAAAAGAATTATTTCCATTTTTATAATTTGTTTTTAACTCAAAACATGTTTTACATCCTGAATAAAACTAAAAACATCAACCCACTTATTTACTTGTGTTTTTTACACTATTAAACTTATTTTCAACCACTTTCAAAGCTTTTTCACATTATAACATAACTTACACACTAATAGTGCGTTAGTGTTAGTGACCCACAAAGGCAAAGTCTAGTCACCACTGTAGAAAGGTAAGATTCACTTTGGGCACAATGTGTTCTTGTTTATATGTGTTTTGTTGGTAAACGTGGTCTGATGCAGGATTGAAGAACCAAAGGTAATCAATTATTATTTTAATTACTTTATTAGGTAGTCTGTGATTTTGTTATTTACGGTCTAAATAAGTAAATCTGACACAAAATATATTCTTTTCAAAACTACTAAAGCAATATTATATTAAAAAGAAAATTTGTGTCAACGAAGATACAAATAACCAAACTCTATTGATCAATAACATTTTTTCAACGCCAGCTAATTAATTTTTTCTTATGTTCACTTAATAAAATCAATTTAAAAAATTGGGTTTCATAATAATTGTACATTTTGTAAAACATTTTTATTACGAAAAATTTGGTGAATAAACTGAAATTGATCCTGAATAACTGTCTCTATACAAAGATGGTTAGTTGAGAAACTTGTTGCCTTTCCTTCTTTTTCCAAAAATCTCTAATTTGGACCTACTGGTCTGTACACTGGTCTAAATACAACTGACAACTCTGGTATATGTCACATGGTCAGCCAGTTCTGGAGACTAAAGTGATCAGATTCAGATACAAGCAGTTATCTCAAATCAAGAGATCCTTCTCTGACAATACCTCTGGGAAAGCAAAATAAAAACAACACTAAGTCAATTAGAAATCCAAAATAATATGATGACCCCCTTACTATGATTTTTTATATTTTTTTCAATGGAACGTTTTCCTTTTTTAAGTTGATTTTGAGGTTTTCGTAGTGTACCGTACAGTTAGTGGAGCGCCAGGTTGAGACCTGATGTTGCCAACAGGGAGGAGTCCCAAATCTTCCCGGACTTCCAGGACGTCCGGGTCTTCCAGGTGAGAGAGGTCCTCAGGGATTACCAGGTAATTACTTCCAGCATTATTGTGCTAACCTTATTTTTATGTTTCAATATGATTTTTCCTTCATAGTTTTTTTTAAGGATTTTTATAAATAGAGTACTATGTTATTCTACTCTATAAGAAATTAAAAACAAAATTATTCACTTCCATAGCTAACTTGGTGGTGGTTTTAGTTGTAGAAGTAGTATGTTTTATGGTTAGATCTGCTGAACCATGTATAAGGATATTGATTGTACTACCAACAGAGGAATTAGTGAAATACATAATTTTAAATACCAAGAAGTGGCCTACAAAGAAAAATAATAATAATAATTTGTTTTTTACCAACCAGTTGGTGAAAGCTCTTTCTATATTTTTTTTTCATTCGGTTCAATTTTAAAGTTGCTAAGTTCCATGTTTCAATATTTATTTCAATCTCTCTTTGTTGCTACAATTTAATATCTCCTCATCACTATCTAACTAAATTAAATTTTTTGTTATATCTTCTTATAATTACCTATAAGTTTAAAAAGCGAATAAACAACCTATTAGATTGTGTTTAGGCATTTACCCATTTTATTAAAGAGGCAAATAAAACTGTCTAAAAGGGGCAGCGTCATGTTTCTCTCATTATTTTAATTTTTTATTTTATTTTGGCTGGCCTGCCAACATTGTTAACTATTCATAAGTAAAAACCCAGAACTATACTGATTTTTGGAGATAGAACTGTAACTCTTTATCACCTGGCCAAGGAGACAATGCCTTTGACTTTGACTGCTTAGGGATCATCGAGTGCAGGGCCGAGTGTCGTTTGCCTAATCACTTTGGTGGGGTCATTTTACAGCCTGAGGCTTGGCGGGGCGAGTGCCAGCCAGGTATCAGTGAATGGTGCCACGGTGCGGCGGGTATGGGGATGGAAAGATTGACTTGGCGGGGATGGGGGGGTGAGCAAAATTGATTTTAGGGATAAGATGAAACTATTATAACCTAACCTAACTTAACTTGCTAATAATTATGAAAAATTGGTTAGTAATACTAAATTATAATCGAATCTATTTTGTCAATCGATATTAGGGTAGCCCAGGTAAGAAACTGCACCCGGTCTCCGTTACATCCTGCCCAATACACCTTCTTACACTCTGGGGAGTCAAATGGCATTCGGACCTATCTGACGGTTTTGACAGTTTATAACCCCCATGGCAAAGAATAGAGCAACGCTTGCTTAGTTTCCTGGGATCATCACAGGCAAGAGAATATTACTAATTCCCTTGCCTGTGGAATAAACTACCACCCCGCAACAAATAGGACATTTAAAAAATCTAACTAACTAATCTAATGCTTAACAATTTTGTTCCAAATTTGTCATCAAAGTAGTTCTGTTACAACAAATGTACTGTCATATACAATGCAAAAACTTACAGTTCCTGAAAAAAGAGTACTGAATTGTCATTTACCTTATTGAATTGCATTGTGGTATTTCAAATATAATTTTATTTTAAAATCTATACTTTAAGAAGAATACTCACATGTTCATATTATTTTATACAGGGTGGATACAAACTCCCTAGAAACATTTTGTGTATTTGTTCCTTTTAGGTCTTTTTATCATGTATATCATTAAGATCTAGCTGAATGTAAAACATTACCTTGTGACACCTTTTGAACTGGTATTTCACTTTTTTACAGGACCTAAAGGAGACCGAGGGCTACAAGGTCCCCCAGGAGATGCAGCAATGGGAGAACCTGGGCCACAGGGTCCCCCCGGACTCCCGGTAGGTATTTAGGTGATAATTACAGACCCAGCCCATAAATGATATAAAAATTACTGCACTGTTGTACAAAACCTTGTGTTTATCACTCTTTCATAGCTTTTCAACAATTAAACTTTTGATTTTCACTAAATAAAGTTTCTCTATCTCTGATACAAATATTAAACATTCCCCTTACATCTACTTGTAGAATCAAAGTGTAATTATTATTTATATTATTCTATACAGTTGCTAGGTTCTAGTACTTGCAATTAATTAATAAGTATATGCTTAATCTATACAGGGTGGCTGAAAAGTAACTTGCACCCCCCCCCCCTTAACTTTTCAACCATTTGAGATATTCAAAATCAGTTTGCGGCAACCTTCTTAGATATGAGGGGCTGCAATAATTATGGTCGGGGTAGCGGGGGTGGGGGTAGCTCAAAATTTTCAAAAGACAAGTATAGTCGAGTTTGGAATCATTTTACAGTTCTTGACAAAACAAAACAATTGACATATAGAAAACGAAAATCGGCCCACTAATAACAAAATGGTGCCCTAAAACGTATCAAATCCAAATAACTATGAGGGTGGCTGATAATTAACTTGCACCCCTTTTACCTTTTTAACTATTTGAGATATTTGAAATCGGTTTGCGTCAACCTGTTTCAATATGAACGGCTACAATAATGATGGTAAATTTTTAAAATTTTGTCCTTAGGGGTAGTGGTGGTTGGGGGTAGCTTAAACAGGAAGTATGGTCGAGTTTGGTATCATTTTGTAGGTCTTGATATAACTAAGCAATTAACATAAATAAAATAGAAATCGGACCATTAATAACAAAATGGCAGCTAAAATGATTAAGACAATGGTTATTAAAAGTAATTTTTAACTACCATTTTGTTTTTAGTGGTCCGATTTCAATTTTCTTTATATTAATTGTTTAGTTATGTCAAGACATGTAAAATTATACCAAACTCGATCATACTTCCTGTTTGAAAATTTTAAGTTACCCCCAACCACCACTACCCCTGAAAGCAAAATTTTTGAAACTAACCATCATTATTGTAGCCAGTCATATCTAAACAGGTTGCCGCAAAGCGATTTCAAATATCTCAATTAGTTAAAAAGATAAAGGGGGGTGCAAGTTAATTTTCAGCCACCCTCATAGTTATTTGGATTTGATACGTTTTAGGGCGCCATTTTGTTATTAGTTGGCCGATTTTTGTTTTCTTTATGTCAATTGTTTTTTTCGTCAAGACCTGTAAAATTATACCAAACTCGGCTATACTTGTCATTTGAAAATGTTGAGCAACCCCCTACCCCCGCTACCCCTAAGGGCAAAGTTTTCAAAATTGACCATAATTATTGTAGCCCCTCATATCTAAGAAGGTTGCCGCAAACCGATTTAGAATATCTCAAATGGTTGAAAAGTTAAGGGGGGGGGGGGTGCAAGTTACTTTTCAGCCACCCTATATAAGTATATGCTTAAATATATTAATCCCATTGCTAATGTATCTGAACCATAGAAAATTACTATTTTATTTGGAGCATTGGCAACATAAAGTGTCCAATATAAAAATTCTGAAAAGGGCAGTTTATGGGCTGGTTCAAAAACCCCTGATTGGTGAAGTGATTTTCATCCTCACTAAACCTTTCAACTAGCTCCTTATGAATGTTATCTAACCTAATTCAAAGTCAAAACACAATTGTGCTTCCTGCATTGAGCTTTTTTAAGTCTGAAAGTGATCTTGACCGGGAACAGGTTAAATTATGCTTGAGGTATAATGATATAACTACTATTGAGGTATATTAAATTTTGTGTGCATGCTTTATAATATTCTTCTTCTGATCTATTTTGATGATTGCAGGGTCAGTATGGACCAAAGGGAGAGAAGGGAGACTATGGTGACATAGGACCCCCGGGTTTGATGGGTCCTCCAGGACTACCTGGACCTCCTGTAAGTGTAGATGAGAGCTTAGAGAGTAATCATCGACTTTTTGGAAGTAAACATCTCATTCATCTATTTACACTACAGCAGTAGCTAATTCTTTGTTGAAAAGAATGTAGTTAATGAAATAAGCCTGAAAGGTAGTTTGTTGTAGTCTAAAATTATATGTCCACCCTTAAATTTTGTTACCAAGATGTATAATGTGACTTAAAAGATACTTTGATTTACTATACGTTGTTCTTTCAAAATGGCCTTGTGAAATTAATATACTATACAATAATCACTATTTTTGATGAGAACACTCTGTCTGTGGCTCATTTAACTACATTCATTCCTAAAACTGGCTACAAACTTAACACAGGAAGGAATATTCTAGTTCTATCCATAGTGAAGGGTGTAATGATTACATGTACCCTTTAACACATTAACTGAAGATATTTAGAACACCAGCACTACATTCTGTCAATTTGTTGAGCTTTTTGGATGTACAGTAAAAAGTTCTAAGTGTAACCATAACTAAGAGATAAAGCTAAACCTTTTTAAAACACAGGAGTCTTGTGAACACCTTATTGAGATATTTTCAAAATCATCAACATTGTAATCAAATCTAGAAAATACAGATTAAAAGTAATCAATATAGTTAGAATTGCAAATATTTATTTATTAGTTTTAAGCTATTTTATTTATTTATTTTTTTTTTTATTGACATTATTTTGAAGGGAAAATCTTTTTGTTCTACACCCTAGTAAAATACTTCTATGACTGTTCACTGCTGTGTATTTAATAATATAAAATAGGCGATGGCGTCTTTATCTTCTGTTTCTCATTTTTTAATTTCAATTTTCATTTAAATTAACTATCAAATTATTTTGTGGAATTTTTCAAATAAAAAGCAAACAAAAACTTAAAACTATAAGTGTAAATCAACTCTTTGGTGGCAAAATGTTTGGCTTGTTGAACTTGAAAACTTTTCATCTATTAATTGAATAAATAAACAATTTTGTATTTACTTTGTATATTCAAGTGTTGTATTAGTTGGGTCTTTTGAACTTGAATCTAAATGAATGTCTCTTTCAGGGCTATCCAGGCCAGAAGGGTGACAAGGGAGACAAAGGAGAATCGGTGAGTTGCTCATCATAACTTCCTTGTTCCATGTTAATTTTACAAATTAATGAACTAAGCTATTCGCAAAGGGTATTTTGTCAATTAAGTGAAGTGACATCACATCTCAAGCCCTTTTCAATTATATTTACCTATTATATTTTCCAACTTAATCTTAATTTTTAATGAAATTCAATATTTACGAGTATACAATTGATTTTGGTTCTTCTCCATTATTTGGTTAGTTTTCCATGTTCTTTTTATGAAAATTAAACAAACTTTGTTTTAAGCCTATTACTTAAATACTTTTTGTTGGAATGGCAACCATACAAAGTAGGTATTTTAAGCCAAGTATGAACGAGGATTTAAACAAATTTAAATCCACATTTAGAATTTTGTGTGTTTTAAACTAAAAGAATCAAGTTCTATGTGTGTATAAAATTCATTAAATAAACCTTTCAAATACTTTTTGACAAATGAAGGATGAAGGATCAATAAAAAATGTGTTTTTTCAGGTTTAACAGTTCAACATCACTTTTCACACTACTTGTAGAAGTACATACTTTACATCATAGTTTATTATATACTTATTTTTAGGTATATCCAATAATTTTTAGTGTTGTACCTGAACTGAAACCTATCAACCTATCAGAGACTGTAACCCCATTTTACATCTTACTGATATCTTCCAAAACCATAGAGACAGACAATTTTGTTCTTGGACCAATAAAAAAAAACAAAAACAATAATCAGCATGAGAATTTGTTCAGACATTTTCTTGAGAAGTTTTGAGACCTTTTAAAAGTTGCTTTTTCATGTTAAATGAGATGTTCCAGAACACCATTCCAGGTTTTCTCTCAGATTTAACAATCTGAGTACATCTCTGGTATGGACATTACAATCTAAATCAATCTTAAAAATCATAAGCTGTATATTTCATTTTTGTTTTCTATTTCTGTATATTATCATTAACCTTGCTTGTGTTGCTTCTAATATGTTTTTTCTCTTTCTTTTCCTGGCGTCATTTTCTGCGTACAGAAATATAAGAAGCTCAGAAGAAGACAGGTAAATACAAATATCTATACACTTTAGTTGTAACATAATTAATGAACACTTTATCATACTGTATGAGGTATAAGCTGCAAAAGTATATAATTTAAGGTACTTTTTATTACTTGCTGCACTTGATAATGTATAATGTGTTTTTTCAATTGCTATTGTTGAGTTATATGAATGTTTTAAGGCAATATACTTCCTGTAATGGCATAGTGAATTTGTCCTGTATATTTTTCAATTATGGTTGTTAGGTATATTTTTAGTACATTTTAAATGTTTACCTTTAAAACACAAGAATAGTGTAGTTTGTTTTAATATTCCCTTACAGTTTTAAGTATGATATTTTTCATTCATAATGTATCATGATTGTAGAATGATTTATACTTCATATTTTCAAATTTTTTTCGACTTCATAAAATATAATTGTCTACAAAAGAGCAAATGATTTTCTCAAAGATTCATTAGTTGGTTTATTTATAATTTGTATAACAATCTCTACAAACTTTATAACTAACTCTATACAAATATTACTTTACCTAATGTCTCACATTACCTGATTGCTATTGAGGTGGAGTACATAATTTAAATATCTTTATCAAAGGACATTTTCCTCTGTGTTTCCTATATAAATAGAATCCCATTACTGGAAATGTAGTTCATGTTTAATGCATATTATTGTATTAAAGCCTCCAGTGCCTCATGTAATTCATTATGCTTTATCCAGGTAAGATTTAATAAGTTAACTTCATACTGTTTTGAATAATTTGTTCAAAATAGTAAAAGCTCTAACCGTTGATACGATTAGTAAGCTTTAAATTAGTTCTTAGATGTGTAGCCTTTATTTGATTATATTACTTTTGAATATTCTTGAAACATTTTAATAGCATGGACATCCCTTGGACTAATAAAAGTAAGAGACACTTAACTCCTGAAATGAACAAAATCAACAATCTCGTTTGCAGAAGGAATGGATAAATAATTCATTATAGAATAAACTTTAATACTTTATTTCTCTAACCTGTCCCTGTCTCCAAGCCATGAATGCCAGGGTCGCTTGTGCGGTCCTTTTTGTTCAGAAGAGGAATTTATTACATTAGATGTTCTTATAATATGTTTAGTCTTTGCACCCCTAACAGATAGTTAACAATTAATTATTATCACTCTTTAATAATATAAAGACTCAACCAATAGATTTGAAAACATGTTCAACAGACTAGACGTGTTTGATGAGATTCTTCTTTATTAATATTGCCGAATGTTGTTTTACAGGGAGATGGCACATTCGACTCTATCGGAGGAGCGGAAGTTGTAAGTAATTTTACACTTTTATTTTGTAATATCAGTGGTTAAGATAATATTATTAAATCAAAATAACAGCATAAATTTTGTAGTAAAATGTTTAAAACAGTGTGTTCTTCAGAAATCCAAATTAGCAATCTACCCGGTTGATTCAAGATGGTGGCTAAACATGCCAATGTTTCTAAATATGCCTCTATGGTACAAGCCCTCAACACTCTAAAACTAATTGGTTTCCAATGATGATCTTACTAGAGACTTTGCTACAAACTTAGAAGACAATAATAATGTCTACGCGATCAAATTTACAGGATGAAAATGTTACTTGTGCAATTTAAGTCAATGAGTAACACTGTTCATTATAAAGCTCCAGAGCTAAACTCTAATCTCAAGACAGACTATGGAATAAAGCTTTGAATCCAATAGTCAATGGTGTAACTATTCTAAAGTAGGCAAAATATCCATTATTTAGTCTAATGATATTAATCCGACGAAATAAAAGCTATTGAATTCAGTGGAATAACACTTGCAGGGTAAATTAAGAGGGATCATACATGAATCTGGCCATTTCTTGCAGTTTAGGAATCCATAACTGAATCCAGGAATCCTAGGAATCCAGTTTTAGTCCAGAACTGAAACTATCTAGGGTTGCTAATCTGGATCATCACAATTTAATTTGACCTGAAAAATAAAGTTCACTGCAGTTTTTTTTCAGTTTGCTGCAATTGGGTACATATTTTATTGTGCCCCAGTGTTGTCATCAAAAGACAAGTTTATTGTAGTTTCCTATCGATTGTGGGGGGGGGGGGGTCAATAAGTTGTCTGCCTGGTGCCACTATCTAATATAAAAATCCAACTATATGGATTTTCAACCATCCGTATGGGATCTAGTTCCGATTTGGTTATGATTAGATTAGACCAAACCTTACTTAACCCTGACTAAAAATCCTTGACCCTTCGACCCCCTCGCCCTCTAAATGTCTTCTTTTGATTGAGCTGGCTTTGGTTGTCGTCGCCGACATTCTCACAACCACATTTAAGTTTTCTTTCAAATAATTAAGGCAAAAAAAAACTTTATCATATTCAGTTTTTTTACCCTTAAAATTACGTAGACTGATAACAACCAGGCCGTCACACAGGCACCTGCGCATTTAGGCCTATCCCATAAGTATGGCAGATTCATCCGACAATTAATTTTTTACTAGTTAATCTTGCTCCCTGTTTTATTTATCTTTCTGTAATGAAATTGGAATAAATAAACTTATTTCATTTAATTTAATTTCGATTGGCACTCTACTGTATTAGAGCGCCGTAACTGTTATTCACAATTGGGCAAAAGTTGAAGTAAAATCTCATATAACAACAGATCTTTAATGGAGATAAAAAGTTATGACATAAATTGTGTACTATAAATAAGCTAAGAAATATAAAGCCAACTTGCCAAAATGTTTTTTATGTTCAGGTAGTCGGACCCCCTGGACCACCAGGCCCCGCAGGAGTTCCAGGTCTACAAGGTCCTCCAGGAATCAAGGGAGACCGGGGCATGGATGGTGCCAAAGGAGAACCAGTGAGTGTAGAGTCTGCATAAGATTTAGTTCAACTCCTTTACTGATCATATAGAATTTTTGTTTTTTCTTCCTAGATTTGTTTCCTATGTAGTGATTAGATATAATTCTACAACACCTACACACTATGTGTATTTTAAAGCAAAGATGAGTGAATGATGAGTGTGTGATGTGACGGGGATGAATGAGATGACAGCTTTTGTTACTAGTCAGGATCAGCTTGTACCTTAGACAGGACCATTTATAAATGGTTTTTTTTTATCCATCCCAGTTTCAAGAATTTGACTTATATTAGACTAACCTTTGTTGTTGTTGCAAGAGGTCTTGAGTGTTTGTGTCACCCTATGAATTTCACCAGAGCCTGTGTGGCGTCTTCAGGGGTCTTCTTGTTCATTATGTAGCCCCTGAACTGTTTAATTAGACAAATATAAGTAACTTCTTGATAAGCATTGTCCATGTTATTAAGTTTACAGGAAGTAAATAAAAGAAACGTCTTATAACACTTAAAACATATATTTACACGTTTACTATTACTCACAAAACGGTAAATATACAAAAAAGATGGTAAGTGATGATAGATTTTGATTGGACACTCCAATCATCATCAGACCCAATAGACGAAACATTCGGGTCTGATGATGATTGGAGTGTCCAATCGCAATTGATCACCACTAACCATCTTTTTTGTATATTTACCGTCTTGTGAGTAACAATATAAGGGTAAATATATGTTTTAAGTGTTATAAGACGTTTCTTTTATTTACTTTCCACAAATATAAGGTACATGCCTTTACGTCGATAGTTCAAATGTTGTAGTAAGTAAAACTCACGACATGTTTCACCTATTCAGGCATCGTCTTTTAATTTCCTAACAAGTATGTTTCATCCATGATGTAGTCGTCAAGAAACATTTAAATAAATACACAAACATAACGCACAAAAAACATTTAAAGTGTCAGTTAATAGTAGGCCTCTACCATAGATAAACATACTCCCTTAGTAGATTTCTCATCCTTATGGAACAGCTGAAGACAATTTTATTGTTAGTTCTGTACGGTATATGTAGAGGTTGTGTTTTGTTTACAATTTGTTTCCCCTTATTACACTCATTTAAAACAAGGTTTAACCAAATAATACAATCTAATCATAAACAATAACTTGTCCCCTAGTTGTATAACCAAACAGTAAATCACAAATCAAGAAATTAACCCTAAAATAATAGAAACAAAATTTCGTCGACACTAGCACCCAGTGTCGCGTACATGAACTAGACACGAAAAATGTGCTTCAAAATTTACAATGGGATGAGAAATCTACTTGTGTTGGTTAGTCTATGCCTCTACTTTAAACAACACCCTAGTCCGAGAAATGAAATGGAGGAAGAAAGACCTCCTGCGATGACTTCCCTGTATGTCACTCGTCGTTGTCCGATCGACCCGACCGCACTTGTGTAAATTTTTTTTTAAATATATACCATAGTGTGAGTGATAAGAATATCATGACTTAACAAGAAGATCCCTAAAGATGGCATTCAAGCTGGCAAAGTTCATAGGCGACACAAACATTTACCTACTCAAGAACTCAGAGCTCTAACAACAAAGGTAAATCTAATATATTTACTAAAATTTTTAGAGTCCAGGACAGCTAGGTAATAGGTATTGTATCAAACCATCAACAACTGACTCATCTAATGATAGTGGATGTGTGGTATTTGCATCCGTTAATAATCCCTCAGTTCTGAGAGACTAGCTCTTACAGTTAGTCAAAAATAAACTTGTACTCTGTTATGTAGCTGTTGGCTACTGCTCCAAGTGCAGAATACATAACTAATGTTAATGAGATTGTCCCTTGATATTTTAATTTTTTTTTTTAAAGCAAATTTTTAGGGATGTGTGGAAGTTGTAACACTGGGGTGTGAGACAAATATTATGTGCTCTGCTGTGTCAGGAATATCTTGAAAGTGGAAAAAGTAAGGATTGTTTTCCTTTCTTATCTTGTTGAGGGAAATTAGTTTTCAGGAATCTTGTGACCTCACCATTCATTTTGAAAACCAATATTTGAGATCAACATTGCAGAGCGTTGACAATTCACCACATCTAGTCTGCTATCAAGAGGATTGCTTTGCCCTCTCTGTTTGAAAGGGGGGTTTTCTCTGTCAATTTCAAATCCTTTACAATTAATAGATTGCCTGTTGCTCGCACACAAAAAAGGATTTGGTAAATTCAGCACTGTCGAGATTTACACTTGCTCGTAAACTTTACTGTACATATAAAATGCATCACAAAAAAAGCTTTCTTCTACTAATCTCTTTCTTCTCTTAGGGTGTAATGTCACATTTTTTGGACTATTGTACAACTTCGGTAAGTTGTATTTGTAAAATATTTAATGCAGTTGAACATCCCTCTAAGGCCATTAAAGTAAAATCCAAGCATTTAAGAGTCAATAAATATTATAAACATTCATTGTTTTGGTTTTTTTTTCAGGGAGATAAAGGATCAAAAGGTGATCCTGGACCCATGGGACTACCAGTAAGTAAATTAAAAATGTTAAAATATTTATTTTTCAACTTGATTAGTGGGACTTTTTGTTGCAGTCCTTGATCAATAGATGTTTTTACAAACTCAAACTGTTGGTTGGAGTCAGGAAATACAGCTCTTTGTATTTAGTAAAATGAAGGATTGACTTCAATTTGCTTTCCATGTGCTGCCCGTTGTTTCAATACTACAGTTTACTAAGTGTGCTTTAGTTAAAAGTCCTGCCGGTTGTGAGGTGCGGGTCTATCTTACGGTTTTTGTTGGCCACAAGATCATGAAAATTTACTATAAAATGTGAGAAGTGTATTGAAATAGCGTAGTAAGTCAAAGTTCTGTTTGAAAATGGTGCATTCAGCTTAGAAATGGCAGAACTAAAGTTGACATCCATTTTTTGTTTGCATGACAATATCCCACCTCACACGACGAATCATACACAAGATCTTCTTCATTCATTCAAATGGGAAATTTTCTTTGAACTACCCTACAGACCATTACTTGCTCCGAATGACTTTCACTTGTAAAAAAAAGACGGTATGCAGTATATATCGCTTTGATAACGACTACGGTACGAGCCAAAATTGTATGTCTCTGAGTGACTGAGCTCACTAGCAGCAGGGAATAGTATGTCAAAGGAAAAATCGCAAAACTTGTCCACCGCTATAAGTAAATCAATTTGTGACAATTATATGTTGAAAAGAAGTATTTTGGTTTTTCTTTAAATTATTTTCTCTTATGCCACTTTTTTATTTTATTTCAATTGTTCTTTACTATTTTAACAGTCATCGTATATTGTTTATTAGCGAGGGTGCCAGGTTAAAAATACTATCGTTATGTCCACATGTTTTTTAACCCTTTTTTCTAACTTTTGATTTCCCATAGGGTCCCATGGGGCTGAGAGGCGACTCGGGTCGGCCGGGTGACATAGGCAAGCCCGGACAGATGGTAAGGCCTCCGTTTTCCTAAACCTAACCTAACATCAGCTAACCACTAACTCCACGCTGATGTGACCGATGAGTGGACTAACATGACTAACGGTGTGAGTGCTACACGCGATCTCATGTAAATAGCGTTAGTGAAGATGACTCTGGAACTGTTCTGTAGATATTAGATTAAATTAGTCTTGGTGAGGATTGATCGACAACTGAAAACAAGCACAAACTACATTGTCTAATTTATTGATTTATTTATTTCCTAAATTTGTTTCAAGTATATTTGTGTCTTTGGTTTTTGTCTAAACCTTGATTTTAGTTAATTTTTACAACATATTTTTGTACTATTTTACTTATTTTGGAAATATTTAGTTTCTTTATTGATCTCTAATTTTAAAAGTTACTTGGTTTAAGGGTTAAAATTGTACTTTTGTTTCATATTGTTTTTATATTGTAACTATAATAGTTTGGGAAACTATAAATGTTTATATGCTATTTCAAATTATGAATTCATTGTGTGTAGTATGTGTCATAAATTTGTTTGTGTCAATCTACTGATTAAAGGTGGATGGATTTAGTAAGATGTTTCTCAAGTATTACTTTTTGAGATAAAATAAAACACTTTATCCCTATACATTATAATCTTTAAGCACATCTATAATTCGAAATTGAGAGATGGAATAGTTGATTCTTTTAACCATATGATACAAGGGTTTGTTTCTATATTAGACATTAGATTCATTGTTTATTCAAATACTCATGTACTGTTTCAAGTTAACTCAAGTACAAAAATTAAGTTTTACAAATAAGTCAAACTTATTTGTAGAACTAGTTCATTAATTCTTATTTGTATTGATAAAAGTTTAAATTATTATACAGTAGTGCAGACTACTCAATAGAAAATATGTACTTTTACTTTATTTTAACAAAACAATGTTTTTGAATTTGCTTTTTGAATTTTTTTTCTATTCCTATGAAAAATAATTACAATGTTTTTATGATTATGTACTTTATACTCACTAAAGTTATGTAATTCATAATGTTTCTTGACTTGTTGAAATAACATATTTACATTATCAACCATACACAATTAATATTTTTGATATATTCTTTGCAGTTCAATGTTTTATTTATACTTTATTTATTCATTAAAAAATTATTGAAGTTTAAATTAGTGAACATATGTACATAATCTAAGGGTGAATTTTGTAATTCTGTCATCGGTTGACTTAGACATATTAGACTGATGTGATATTAGAGTTTTCATTTGCATTTCATTTCATTTCCTGGCAAGAATTTTTCCCCAAATCATTTTTAATACAAATCGTTGTGAAGCAAAAACTTGTCTTTACTTTGGATCAAAAGCCAATATTCTAAGATCTAAAAAATATGTTTTTATACTACAGTATATATTTTATAAATAAATTAGCACGAAGATCAAACAATCATAGGTCTTGCATTTTTTCCACGTCTAAAATTGCAAAAACATTTAAATGCCAATAAGCAGTTTTTGTCATTCAGTCTTAGAATTCAAATTAATTTAGATAAAATGACTACGGATATCTCTTGGAAACTTCTTTATGTGATCGTTAATTTCAGATTTTTTAATATTTTGTGATTCTAGTAGCAGCATATTTCAGTACAGAAGAAGCCGACTTTTTTACTGTTCACGAAGATCTGAGTTTTAATTTCTTGTTGACAATGAATTGTTTTTAATATAGATTTAAAAAGTGCTCACAATTGGCTTAGTCAAAAGATTTCTGAGATGGGAGGGATTTTAAATTTATTTATACCTGGTTGGTATACAAAAATGTAGCTAGCCTTATTATTAATAATTATTAATTTTATTATTATTATTTTTAATGCAATAAAATATTGTGCATGAATTCAAATTTCTATCTAACCTTTTTCTTGGTATCAGCTTCTTTGGTTTTTTTTCAGTTAATCATAGTACCTTACCAATATTATTGTAATAAAGTATGTAGGTGTGTTCACATCAATATTAAATTAATATTAATTACATTTGAAATGTACACATTACAAAATAACATATTTATTTTCGTAATGTTAACCAGTTTTCATTGATTATTTGGTTTTTGTAATATTGTACTGAATTACTTAGTAGGTACAAACCTATTTACTCAACACAGTACTTACAAACCTAAAGTCCACTAGAGTTAAGTCATCGATGTACAAAGTGTCGGATCTGAGTGTTGCAGTTAAGTCATTTGGCTGCCTAGTTATGAGTGCCAACAATAGACTTCATTACAAAAATTTAATATATAATGCTATTTTCATTATGGTATATATAATAATATAAATATTAAGCGTTTTAGATATTTTTGTGTGTTTTTGTAAGTACTTTCAACTAAATATTGTAATATATTATTATGATTGTTATATATTTATTGTATGAAAATGAAACTGTATCTTAGATTAAGTACTGCCGCAGTTTTTAGTGTTTGTATAAACGTAATTTAGGGTTAAGGCGTTGTTCCGTGTGAAATAAGTCACCAGTAATTGTAAAGCATGATGCTTTTTGGCTGTACTACCCATTTGGCTTGCAATTTTGTATTTTATAATAGTACTCTTTTATAATAACAAAAATTGATTTTCTGTTAAAACCGCTACTTTAAAGTATTTCCAGTATATTTTATTTATATAAAATCCAGGTAATTATATGTACTTTGACATTATAGCTATTATTAGTTTCTTTTTTTACCTGTAAATGTTTTTCATAAAATGTAAAATTTATTTGATTTGTTGAAGAAAGGACTACATTATTGAGTAAAAACGTTTATGGTGTCTTCTATGAGGTTTAAAATGTAACTTTTTCAGTATGAGAAATAAAAGAAACGGAATTCCAAAAATATCCTGTGTAAATTATTTTATGTAACTATTTGAGTACCCAGTCCATCACTTAAGTATTCCCTAAAGAGTGATGCAGATAAAATTGTAATAGTTTTATTACTGAAAAATAGCAATCTTTTTAAGCAAACCATAAATTATGCTATAGTGTTTATTATACCACATTTAGTTTGTGATTACTTTTATGTTCTAGTTGTTATTATTTTATTGCTACTGCTCAAAAATCGTTTTAATTATTTTTATGATTCTAAAATTACTTTTATAATTTAATATCAGAGTTTATTATTAAATTATTTCAATAAAGATTTTCTTTGGAAATGAGAAAGCCGGGCATATTTAATTGTAATAAACGTAAAAAATACATACAGTGAGACGATTCACTCATACACAATTATGTATTTTCATTTGATAACTCTTACCTATAATAAAAAACATCCACTAATTTGTTAATTAAACTTAAGTGTAGTAAATGTACCACAATCCACTACCATTGAAGTTTAAAGACTAATGTATGAAGTCAAGTGGAAGAAAGAACTATGAGTGCATAAGAATGCCCGAATAAAGAAAATATTTTCTTCCCATCATTACATTAAATTATAAACCCTAATGTTTATAATCAAAGTTACTGAAAACAAATTATAATTTTTAATAATTGATGTAAATAGTTTTGGATCATAATTAAATTTCCTAACAATTCTAAACTTTTACAGATTCTTAGACTTTTTCGGTGGATAGAAATACCGGGTGTCCACTAAGTAATGTTCCAACTTTAAAGCTAAATATTGTATTCATAGTTATATTTACATTATATACAAATACAGCTCATCAAAGATAATTTTCTCAAGTGGTCTGCATATTATAAAAGTTTGATGTAGTCTCCACTCCGTTCCTTGCTCTGCATAGATCAAATAAAAAATCGACCTCTTCCCACACTTTTGACAACATTACCTTAGTCACAGCCTGGATTGCTCTCTGCCTTGGATTGATGACATTCCTGATTTTCTCGGAGTAAACAATGTTTTTAACGTATCCCCAAAAGAAAAAATCTAATGGCTTCATTCCCGGGCTTTGTGGTGGCCAGTGAATTGGTATTTCTCTTCCATCCCTACTGGGATAACGTGTGTAAATTTGCTAACAATGGGTAACAACAAACAGTACCACACAGTGTTGCACAATAAACGTAAATTTCTCTAAAATAAAGCTTGGAGTGTTATTCTTCACAAAAAAATTATTAGCAGTTTGCTCCGTCCAATGTTATGGTTGCAGGGACTAAACCAAATGGGTGCATTACTTTGTGGACACCTGGTATATTAACTTATTTTACTTTATATTCAACAGTGAATTTTTGTATTAATTCTTAATGTCGTTGTTAGGGTCGTTAAAGTCACCTCTTACATTGAAAACACCTATATATAGTTATAGGTTATTATCAACAGGTAGTATCAATTAGTATTCAATAGCTATACAAACTTAGTTCTAATTCACATGAGTGGATAAGAGTTTGAATAAGTTCTGATTCTTCAATAACCTAAGCCCTCTGTTCCTAGTTAATTTTACTCTCATGTACCATTTAATTGTTCACAAACTTTATACTTTAGCCATTAATGAATCTTTTGTGGGACATTTATTACATGTTATTATGTAGAGACCAACAACGCTTATCATGATTAGTTTGAAGAAGCACTGTAAGTATAGATAATCTTTTATTTCATGTTGCATTGTGAGGCTGTGAGAATGCTTGAGATTGGAATAGAATAATCACACATTTTGCAAACTATTCATGCACCTGCATTTTCATGTTGGATTCAAGATTCCAAGGTATTGCATTTTTGTAGACCCTAGAACCGTCATCATATTTTTCAAGATCAAATAGTTTTGATTTTGCAGTTAATTGGCAAAACAAAATTACAAAATATCAAATCAAACCTCTTCAGAATAACATATTCAGAATAACTATTCAAAATGCAATATCAATTTATAATTATTATAAGTTTATTAAGACTGAAGGCAAACAGAAAATCTGATTATAGGTTTAGTACTGATTGGTTATGCATGGTAAAATATAGTTTCAACTTGATTTGATGTTGACCACAGTAAACTTTTACAAAACGCAAAGTATTTTGTCAGGTCCCATCGGAGACTGCCAATCAAAAAGTGTTAGAATATTTAATTTTTTACATTGATATAATTTCACTAAACAAGTAAAATGCTAATCATTAATTAAGTTTTTATATTTTTTTAATACTGTGCCACCGCAATGTTATTTTTTTTTTTTTTTTTTACTGAATCCAAAACTAACAACAGTTTAATTTTATCATATTGCTCCAGGTTATTTCCAGGTTCTATTTGTTTTAAATATCAATCTGCTATTCCATTACACTCCAATACAATAAAATCACTGCTGGTTAATTTCTACAGTTTGCGTACACTATAAAGTTGTGTAACATAATTTATAATTTCACAAGCACCTTAAACCAATTCACATAATACATTATTTGCCGGTTCCTGTATTCATTTCTGAAACATTCAAATTTATTTTTTGAAGAATGACAAAGCCTCATGCATCAGTTCTGTGGTTTAAGGTTGCTGGACTTAGTTGAACAGAGCTTTGATAGATAGCAGCACAAGCAATACAGTTGACAGCTGACACTACAATATCAAACTACATGGCACTTATAAAATAACCAACAATAGTACACCTAACTCCTATATAATAGTATAATCAGTGCTATTATTTTTAGTTTATGCTTCTAGTTGGTGTAACGGCAACTCTTTACATTTAAAAGTGAAAAAATGTAGAGAGGGGACAGCTAGAGGTTCTGTATGACTTCATATTATGCATACAAATTCTACAACAATGTACGGTATAACGAATACATTTTGTGAGGAAATAAAACAGCTTGGACTTATGCAACCATTATGAATATGAAGAACAGCTCCACAATGATAACAACCCCATTAACACGTTCTACATTTGTAAAGATACAATAAATAAGTTCTAAAATCAGCATAAATAGTAGAAAAAAAACGTCTACTAACATCATTTAATTTTTTACTATTAATTATATTTTTTTACTAAATAAACACTTTTTACATCAAAATACTTCATAGATTTGTAGATTTAACTGCAGTAAAATGCATGGACCGTTTCACTGCAATCTTACATTTTAATTTTTAACAATATTAACGTATATTATTATTAAGATAAACTTACACAATTCAAAGTTTATTTAGACATTCTATTTCTATGTACACTGAGCAAAGCTTTGCTCTCGTGTCTTAGTTGCTCTATTTGAATTGCATGTTGCATTGCATTATAATTAAATTTTATATTGAGAATGGCAGTTTTATATGATTCCAAATTACTAATTCAGGTACTATAAGGATTTAAAATCCTGATATGTAACCCATTGTCAAAAGGTATCTCTATGGTGTTAGCTTTGACGATGGTACATACCAACATTATCATAAATCAAAATAAAATTTTTAATAAATAAATAAAATAAATGTAAAACATGTTCCATTAAAATTCATAAAGTGTTTTAATGTTTAAATATTACTCAGAAATGTCAATTTAGTACATAAATTATAACCCTGTAAACAATAAAATATTTGTGAAACAAAACAGCTTAAAAAATCTTTGGTTTTGTTTGAATGTAACAAATTTGTTTACTAGAAACTCATATTATAAATTATAGGCCCTACCATATCTAAAAATATCAACCCATATTTATGTTATTTTAAAAGAATAAAAATTTTATAAAACTAAGCTGACTTTATATACCTTAGCTCTTAAATTATGCAGTATAAATACATTTGATCACATTAGTTTTACAATGGAGTTTTAATGTGCAGTTACGAAACATATATATATATGCAGGTAGAATGGCTTTTGCAACAGAATTTGCAGCTTATTTGGTTGCCTGAGCATGTTTTTTTCAATAAATTTATCCATAGGTTTTCCCTAAGTTTGTATTAAGTTTTTATATTTTCACAATGTATTTTTTGTGTATATAAATATTCTAATGTTTTATATCTTTTACAGGGACCTCCAGGACTTGATGGAATGAAGGTAGGCTTTAATTATATTTTAAAAATTTTATTTTAACCACTCTTGATAACCACACATGAAATCAACGTAGATTTCAATAACTCGGGGTCATTTTAAGCCAATTAAATATACAGGGTTAGGCAAAAGTCTGGAACCCCCTAGTTAAATTTTAACGCGTTGCAGTAGGAAAACCAAACTCGGCACATATTTACAGCATAAAAAATTTCACTTTTTTAATTAAAGTTACAACTTTGACCCAGCCCACAAAATGGGGTATTTTGGGGGCAGCCCAAAATTTTCAAATGTAAACACCTATCATGTGACCCCTCATTTTAAAGGATTTCTCAAGACAAATTAAATGGCATGAACTAGAAGTCAATATCGCACCCCTAATCAAAATGGCAGTTATTTTGAAATAACCCCTATTAACTTTTTAACAGGTTATATGTAGCAGGAAAACTAAACTCAGCATACCTCTATAAAAAAAGAGAATTCACCTTTTGGTTGGTATTAAAATATTAAATTTTAAAGTTAACTGGAGGTGTCCAGACTTTATCTTGCTTGCTCATCTTAAATAATTAAAATTTTGATTGCTTTTGGCTGCCATTTTGATTAGGGGTGTGATATTGACCTCTGGTTTGCGCCATTCAATTTCTCTTGATAAACCCTTTAAAATGAGGGGTCACATGATAGGTGTTTACTTTGGAAAATTTAGGGCTGTCCCCAATATACCCCATTTGGGGGGCTAGGGCAAAGCTGTAACTTTGATGAAAAAGCGCAATTTCTTATGTTGTAAATATGTGCCGAGTTTGGTTTTCCTACTACATGTTAAAATGTTAACTGGGGGGTTCCAGACTTTTGCCTAACCATGTAGAAAGAGGTTGTGAAAATGAAAATACATATTGCTATGATACTCGGTAACTGAGACTATTTTATGTCGCCATAATGATAAATAATTTTCAAGGGCTCCTCAAAATAAAATAACTGAATTGTTTTTATGCCATATTATGAACATTTTTATTAATGGTGTTGTGCATTTTTATGTCCATCTTCGCCTTTTAAAATTCACTTCATGAGAAATGTTTTTGTATTTTAGGGAGGCCAAGGTGAACCTGGAACTAAAGGAGAGAGAGGAGACCCCGGACTGCCTGTGAGTATTTAGCCAAGTAGCTAGACCAGAGGAGTATTCACAGGATATGCTGTTTGATTCATGTCCCAGTTATATTTGAAAGCAAAAAATATTCATTTTATGTTTTGATGATTATAAAACCAATGGTAAACAAGAGATCATGGTTAATAAATCCTCTTTTAAATACAGTACCTTATAATTATTAAAAAGAGGAATCAAGATAATGCAAGTGTAGCACGATTGTAGAGTACAGTAGTTATTGATGATGTCACAGTTTTCAGCCGAGTCTTGGTCCAGTAAAGCCCCACGCGCACTGCGCCGTCACGGCCGGCCTTTTCCAAAAGTCGTTCCCATGTAATGTAATGGAGGTGCGCGCACTAGGACGGCATGGCCGTCACGGACGCCACCGCCGCCACCGACGTCTGTCAGAAAGTTCGGAGGAGTGAATCTCAGGACAATTCTGCGGCGTCCGTGACGTCCGTGCTGTCCCAGTGCGCGCACCCCACGGCACGGACGTCACAAACGACTCCAAGGAATTTAATGTCTAGAAAGACTCTCCTCTAGGTATCGAAGTAGACATTCAAACTTTTCATGGGTCATCCTAAAGTACTGGAAAAATTTGTCATCGTCCTCTACAAGATCGGGGAATAATGTGTGACATTCACCAAAACCTAGTCGTTTTCTATTTATATTATGTATCCAAAATCTCGCTTTCCTCTTCCTCTTCCTCTTCTCCTAAAATTAATCCAACTACCACCACGTCTTCGTCGATATCCATAGCTCCCACACTCTCAATGCTCACAGCAAAACAACTCAACTGCAAAATACATCAGTCCAAAATGCTGTGACGGCCGTGACGGCCGGCCGTGCCGTCGCAGTGCGCGCACCCCCCCTGAAAAAGGCGGTAACGGCCGTGACGGCGCTGTGCGCGCGTACCTTTAATGTTTAAACTTAAACTGAATTATAAGATTTGGAATTCTGGGTAAGCTCGGAAAGTCAGATTTACATTGAACTAGTCAAACTTTGGGAGTCTACTGCACCCCTTGTAATAGGTTGGGTGGAAAAAATCTGCCCTGGTCCATGAATAGCAAATTGGTGAGTCCACCTCTGGCTAGAGTTAAAAAAATAGCTTACAATGTGCAATGAACTTGTAGCCCAACAACACAGGAGACATAAGGGAGAAATATTTGTGCCTATTTGTAGTAAACGTAGGGCGTTACCCTATCAAACTTTGTTTTTCTCATTGATAAAATGTATGTTGATCATTTCTATACATGTAAGCTTTCTTGCAAATAGTTTATTGCTACGTTGCAATCGGTTCCCTCACCTAACAAAAAGCTCTAGACACACAAATTACTCTACATACACAAACAAAAGAATTCTATACCACATCTCTGATACAAATGTAAAACTTCTTAAATACTAGCTGTTCTACTTCTTCATGTATTTAGTTCATGTAAACTTCCAATGCTTGTGAGTTTTTTACATTTCTTCTATTAAAAGCATTTTATTTTGAGAGTACATACAATTTTTATTAATTAAAGCTATATTTTATTCCCTGTGTGAGTATGTAAAAGAGTATCTCTTTTTGGTTGGTTGTGTACTACTTCAATTTGTTTACCTAAGTTTTTTTAAGTAAATGGAAATGCATGGGAGATTGTACATTTTTGGGAGTCTAACTAATTAATAGGAGTTTAACTTTGGTCACTAACATTCATTGGAACAAAAACCTCAAATCATCTTTAAAATTTGTATATTAAAACCATTATTAGTTGGTTAATTTTGTTAGCTACTTATAGAATATCGGTTTATTTACTAAATTCCTTATTTAACAATATATAAGTTCTGATATATTGCTATTGGACTGTTTTGCAGTTTTTTTTAATAATTAGTTTTTTTACTTATAAGAAGAATAGTAGCTTTCAACACTAGGAGCGAAAATGGCTCTTTTGGTACACAATAGTGTTTTACAAGTGAGGCGCAGCCAAGCTTGGAAATATGATTAAGTACCAAAAAGACACTTTTCGCTCTGAGTGATGAACAACTATTTTCATCATACTGTACAGTGTAATAATAAAAGTAATAAAACTACTGTTCATCATACCTTCTAATTGTTACAAAATTAGACCATACAATTTGAGGTCATACATATTTGTCATCAATGTTTGCTTTTTTGTTGTTTACAAACACAACTTTAAAATCGTGTAATTAGCAGCGTTTCCATAATGTAATAATAAAATTGTGAGGTTATTGAACCAAAAAATCTACCATGTTTTTTCTGTTCCCTATTTGTTACCCGAAAACAATTGTTTTTCGAACGATTTAGAGAACAAAACACTGATGTTTTCTGGACAGAATGATGAAAAATAATTGATAACATTCAATAATCATAAAGTTTTCCTTTGACGTATAGTCTTGTTGTGTCCATACTGCATAGCCTTGCCTTAATAATAAATCAATCTAAATAACATAAATTGGTGACTAACACAGAATAAATGTAACCATAATAAAATTAACATTCAGCAAACCTTATAACCTTTTTATCATCTGGTATTTATTAAAACTATTTAACTGTGTTCCCCAGAGCTATAATAACATTTTACATTAATAATTGTAATTTGTGAGTGTTATACTAACCATGCTTCTATTTTAGGGTACTGATGGAATACCCGGTACAGAGGTATTGTAATTAATTACATTGCATTTTGTGCATGTTACTACAGTAGCGAGCTTTCTTGTGAATGCATAAGCAATTAATATTTTGGAATCAATACAAACCTTTATTTAAAAAAATTATTGTGGGGGGTAAAATAATTCCTGTTTAGTATCCTAATTAATTTGAATTAAAACAACCCTTATGCATGTTCTATTACTAATAAAAAATGTATTATCAACACTTTTACAAACTTTTTTTCTATTTACCCTATTTCCCACACAACATTATTTGGCAAAGGTCACACAATCAACAACTAGTGTAAATTGTGTTTATTTGAATATGGAAATTTAGACTTACATTTGCATGATTCTCGCTTGTTGGCTGTTACAATAAACATTATAGTGTTATTGTTTACTGTCTACCTTGTTGAGTGTTCTTTTTATTTTGTTGTATATAATAACATTAAATACATAAGTTGTTTTGTTATTTAATTTCATATTTCAAATTAGGTACTGTATTGTAACATTTTTATCTAAGACAATGTTTCATATATTATCTTTAATATTACTATTGCACCTGTAGCTTACTATATCTAGTTGTAGCTTGATGGTGACTAAGAATCCAAATTGTATGGATAATCTCATTTTATCTTATTTGTTTTTGTCATAATTCTGTCAAATTATCTTGCATAATCTGTCCACTTTATGCATTACTCAAATAAAGCATACATCAATTAATACGTTCATAACTTAGTAAAACTTATTATATTTTTATCAAGATTATTTTTGTAGAATTGATAATTTGCTTTCAAATTGGTTTGAAATTTACAATTCATACCTTTCAAGATGTTTTAGAATACATTTTTCTTCCCATGAAACTAGTTATTATTACTATCACTGTACTATGTTTGTCATGTATTTAAACACCCCCGCCGCAGCAAACCTGCAGACTAAGCGAATTTCCATTTGACTGATTGGATTTACACTGAAATGTCTACTTAAAAATATAACATTTATTCTCTATTTAAATAGAATTAGTTTAACTAGTACTTAGGTTTGCTGCATCAGGGAGGGTAAAACTGTTTTTTTTTTTTTTTTTTGTAAAACGTTAATAGTTAGTAAGAAATAAAAACATTTTCCAAACGTGATCAAAATATGTTCATAAACAAGCAAACTACAACAATTTACTTATTCTCCATAAGAATAACATGGGAATTTTAAATTTACAATTTTTTTGAATTTTCTCCGTAACCATTAGGCGCATAATAACGCTTCAATATACTAAATTATTTGTTTTTTAAGCTCTACAAAATGGTTTGGAAAGAAATTGCTAAATTTTATGTTTTTTGGGTCAAAAATGGAAAAAACCGATTTTTACCCCATAAAACCCCCCGTAAACCCCCGTTCCCATGGTCCGATCATGCTGGATCGCGAACTCGTTCGAATAAACGTAGGTTTACACGTTTGTACCAAATGTCATTAAAATCGGATCATTTTTGCTCGAGTTATCGTGCTAACGGACACATATATATATATATATATATATATTAGATATATATATATGAATTTGAACGGATGGTGTTTTTGGCCTCTAGGGACCTCAAAATGAAAAAAAAAATCGGTCCCGCGTCCAGGTCTTACCATGAGTACTACGGTAATAGCTTATTCCCTATATGGGAAATTCGCTAAAAAAGAACTAGGGAAGGAGGAAACAATGTTTAGATAAAACTGTTTATATCAGAGAAGTAAAATGTACTTGTAAGGTTATAGAGTAGAAGGCACAAAACATTGTTCTTACAGTTTGTTGATTTGTGTAAAAAAGGCTTATATTTTTTAATATTTTTACTCAATAATTTGGCTTTAAAAAAGTATATATGATACAATTTCTCACCCTCACTTTCTATCAATACGGAAGGTTACTGTTGGTTAACTCGAGTTATGGTATTTAAATACATTCTGTTTAATATTCGCTTTACATTTAGTATTACAAAACCTAAAGTTTCCTCAAAATATGATGTATAATTTAAGTTTAGAATCTAAAAATATGTAAATTTAAATTTTATCTCAATGCCTTTTATCCAGGATTTTTTTTCAATTTGACTATACACTGTTGACTCTACTTGATAGTGACTAGACATACAATCTATGTATGGAGATGGACCTGCTGTAAACAATCTTTTTCACTTAAAAGGACAAAAGTGTAAGAGCTTTTCATTGTGTGTGTTACTATTTTATACTACAATGGTTCATTTAGACATTTTACATAAAAATATATATATTCTGTAGCTTACAATAAGTTATCCTCCAGTTTGATGCAACTAGGTTGATGGTGTGTAAAGTAGTATATTTCATCACTATTGTACACCCGTAAAGAAGTGACTCTTTTCCACCCGAGCTCAAGTTTTACGATCAATGTGAAGCCAAGGTGGATGAGCGAGGGTTGAAAAGACACTTTCCCCTATGGTTATACATATTTTCTGTCATATTGCATCATATTATTGGCTCAATTTAATTTTTTTATTACTGTATTATGGAAACTGTATTTGGAAACTATTAAGAATTGTTTGAATAAAAAAAGTAGGCAGTTTTTATATTATGATCAGCGGTATTTTCTTTTAAAGTCAGGTATTGTGTAGGTATCTTACACTATAAACTAAACTGTATTTTATTATTCAATATCACAGATTAGATTATTATTGAAAAAATGTCTTTTCATAGGAGTAGTGTTTATATTATACAATTATCACTGAGAGAATTTCTAATGTGTAAAAGAATATACTGCTAGGCTACAATATGTATTAACAATTTATAAGTAGTATGAATATTGTATACTATAGTATGTGTGTTTCTGTACTATTTACTTTAATTTCTACATTTTTAATCCTGCCATTACTAACAAATTAAGATGACTTTATTGCATCAAAAGTATTTCCCTGAGTGATTTGCTAACACTATGTTTTATTATTTCTTGAAATTATGCTGTTACATACTATCTGTTTGTATTTTTTTCAAATCTTTTGCTATGCAAGGCATGTCGAATGTTCATCTTTCTTGAATCTTTGTCACATATCATAACAAACTAAGACTTTATCCAACAAACTTTTTGAAGATTTGTATTTGAATGCAATTTCTATAGAATTATTCAGTTTTTTCATTCCATAATTTGTAAGAGTTTTTAACATGAATATTTTTTTAAATGGTGGGTTGGTTAATAATTAATTGAATTTTAAAAGTTTGTGTTTAATGGTTTTACTGGTAAAAAGTAATATTATCATAATTAGATGCCTATAGCTACGTTTATCTAATTAAAATATTTGTTTTCTTACATACACATCTTTCTCAAAAGCACATTTTAAAAGTATTGCCTTAGAGGAATTTTTACCAGAAATAAATTCTATTAAGTGAATTTCAAAACCAGAAAAGTAGTCACAAAAGCTGCATCCCCTTTTCTTTGCAATTAAACTCTTGATTGTTATGTTTAACTAATCATTTTCAAATTTCAGGGACCTAAGGGAGACAAAGGCACAAAAGGTGAAGCGGTAAGTACCTAAGTCAAACTTCAATAATTATGTTTTGCTAATAAAATGTACGAATATTTTTATAAATCTGCACTTTTTATTTTATATTTTGTTCATAACCGCACTAAAATGCACAAACTATTACAGAAAGCTCGGTTTTGTAACACTGCATTAAAAATTCACCCGCATGATTATTCACGAGTTGGAGAATTAAATTAGTCCATGTAATCTTTTTGTGGTCAATCTTGGTTTCAAAATAAATTGATGTACATTACAGTATTAATTTACAAAGTTTATCAACTATCACAATATAAACCAAGTTTTATTCCTATGGTAGGCTACATAATATTTCTAAAATGTTTTGCATGTTTTGTATTATGTTGATTAATATTATAAACTACATTGGTAATCTAAACCATCAGGTCTTAAAAGCTATATGATTGTAACTTACCAAGAAAATGTTTGGCCAGTAAATCTTTCGGTATCTTGGATTAAAAATTGGTTTCATGATTTATTTTTGTTGCCGTACAGTTAATTTTTAATATTCGGTGGTTACTGTTAATACTGTTCAATGAAATGGCAACCATACATAGTAGGTATTTTAAGCCAAGTATGAATGAAGATGAGTGTAGGATGAGTGGTGCGATCTTGTAGCCTTGTTAGTGACTAAGGCCGACATTCCTTAGACATAGCTGTTAATTAATAGCCCATACAGCTAATGGCAACTAAGGGACCTACAGTTAATAGCTTCGGGCAGCAAATTTTGGGGGGCGGTAAAATTGAGGTTGCTATATAATTTGTTTTGTAGAAAATTACTTTTTTTAAACAGCAAATTATTTTTAAAACTAATGATTCGTCATGCTTGTAAGTAACGATTATGATGTCCCCATTATAACGCGAATAGTTTAAGATTTTTCTACGTTCGTAGGTGACGATAATGTTGTTCTCCTGATGGCAGGAGATGTTCACAATTTTGCTGCGATGGTAGGTGACTATAATGATCACTATAATGGTAGGGTCCCCAATAGCAGCAGATGTTAATAATTTGACTGAGTAATTTCTGCAGGACCCGGCCGGGCATAGATGACCAGGCCGGCCTGAGCAAGCGTCTGGCGGCCGGTCCTCGGTGATCGGCCCGCACTCAACATGACTTTTTTTTTAGACAGCTCTATATGATCACTGCAGTTTAATAAACACATATTACAGAATATCTTTGATTTGTTCTCTTAACAATATTGTACTAGGTACAGGTTTAAGGGTTTAATAATAATATACCAATTTTTAATACTATTACATTTTTAATAACGAAGCAAAAATATTATCAAACGTTAAGGCCATTTTCATAAAAAGTTTGGGTTCCTCATGTTAAGACTTAGTGTAAATTGTCATTGGCAAATCCGCTTTTGTGTGGTGAAAGGGCGGCAAATTTAGGACTAATCCCCCCCCACCGTAGAATAGCTTTGGTCCTGCATCAGGCTACAAATTCAAAATGACCGTTACAACAAAGTTTAAAAAAGCACTGGCCTTAACACATTGAAAATAAATTAATATGTTTTTACTGTTTGGACTCTGCCTGTTTTACTCATTCAGGTCCAACTAAATGTTTGTCTTCCCTGGATTAACTGACTAACCTTTTTCTCCCCCAGGGTCCCATCGGAAAGCGAGGGAGAAAGGGCGATAAGGGAGACAAAGGTGACCAGGGAGTTCCCGGACTGGACGCTCCTTGTCCCATCGGCCCCGATGGACTACCACTACCAGGCTGCGGCTGGAGACCACCCAAGGTTGGTAGCACTAGCAGTGGCAGTACCAACCATAACCAAATGTAGATAGCCTCAGTGGCAGTACCAACTACAGAGTACAAAATGTAGATAGACTCATCAGTAACAAAAAGTTCTAATTGCTCACATCAAGTCTGAAATGGTTGATTTTGTTACTTAAATTTGGTCTTACTATTTTCGAGTAACAAGAGGGAAATAAATGGTAAAGAGATTTAAAAAATTGTGCTTTCAAGATATTACTTTACTATTTGAACTTTCAAATTTGATTTCAATAGTAATGCTTTTTAGAGATTGAAATACAGATTATTCATAATTTCTGCATAATTTTACACATTCAAAATTGAGTCCAAAATATGACTTTGATCAGTTTGCTGTGACTTTGTTCACTAGCACATGTGAAAAATTACATAGTATTCTATATATGACGAAAATCTAATTAATCAATTTCGGCGCAACTTTTGAAGAACTAGTGAAGAAAAATCAACAATTCTAGTAAAATATCTGTACAATATTTTCAACAATGTTTAAAAGCCACCCAATCTTTCAAGATTAACTATATACATACAAAAGTTATACTTCGACCTAATAAGGTCAACTTTTCAGATGTATGGAAGATATTAGATAGATAAAAATGGTAACAAGTGGACAAAATGCTTTTGGTCACTGTCATATCATTTAGCACAGATACTAACTAGATCACTCAGCGATTTGTACAGTTCATCGCTTTAAGCTTTAATATACATTTGTTGGCAATTAACATTCTTGCCTCCTCTATTGACATTTGGAACTTAAACAACTCAAACTTAATTTGGAACAACTTTAGCTGAATTACACAGCCCAGTTGTATCCACTTCTTTTTCAAGTTCTGGAGGTGTGGTAAGGTCAAATATAAACCTATTAGTGAAATTACATGAAATTGATGTTTTTCAAGTATGGGAAACTGTTTTGAAATAAATCTCCGTGAATTAGTCAGTAAATAATTTTTTTTTTATTTATGTTTGTAAATAGTTTTGAAACTGAGTGGTTATTTTAAAATAAAATGTATGTTACTGATCAAAACAATAACTTTAAAAGGTGTTCAACCATTTGGTGTGTTGCTAGCCTATTGGTTAGCGTTTTGGACTTTGGTGCAAGAGGAAAGGTTGGATCACTGGCGTTCCAAAAAATTGAGGTGCTTGGACCACTTTTGCCTTAAAGCATTTTTGGTTCTTCTTTACAAAATACAAAATTTGTCGCATAAACTATAAAAAACTAGTAATAATTAACTATCGTATACCACAATAGAGGAGGCAAGATGAGTAGTGAGTGGGTGTGGTGTGGTGAGTGTGTGAATGAGTGGTAAGTGTTACTAACAAGCATGTGTGTGTGCGGGGGCAGGAGTTGAGTGAACACACGACTCCGTCCTCCATGTCTATTACCCCCGAGCCCCCGGCGGAGGACTATGATGATGGTGGGGATGATGAATATGAGGAGTATCCTGACCCCAACACTAACAACTACCAGCCCACCAAATAACAGGTAAACCATACGTCTCAAATACCGATCATGGGAGATAAAAAATCAGTGTAGATAATTAGTTATTCAAATGTTACTTTTGGATGTTAAAAGGGGGTTTTGTAGTTTTTTATTCCATCTGTTTTTGTATGCATCTCACCAAAAAATGAAGGCATCAGAAGGCGTTATTGTATGGAGTGATATTTTATAGTCTTTTTACAAGACAGTGCTACCATATAAATCACTGGTTTTTACAATTAGGGGGCCAACTGGACTTTTATATATAAAAGGTTATACACAATAACAATGCACTGTAGTAACAGAGTAGGCCAGCTATGGAAAGTATTCTGATCCATCTCTGTATATAAATGCAGTGGCAGTTCTAACCCCCCCCCCCCCCCCCCCTAAGAAAGAAGAGGAGTATAGGGGCCCTCCTAGACCTTGTATGTCCTCAAAGAAGGTTGTATGATATCGCAGTGTAATATACCCATACTTGTAGTCCCCTAGTATCACATGCTGTTAAAGCTGGGCGCTAAACAAAAGCACACACTAATACACTTTTGTAACTAAAGAACTCAACTTCCTTTGTATTTTTTGTAAATTATTATAGTTGTAACCTTTCATGTTCCTCTTAAAAATAGCACTGTGATTAATCCTCCATTTGGCACTACTTACTTCTTACTTTCCCTGTCCGGAAATCAGACTTCGCTTTTCCAAAAATTAGCTACCGATGGCTTTATCATTCGCTTGTAAAAGATCATCCAATGTGCAAGACTGGTCTAGGCGTGGACAGATCAGCAGATGGCCAGGATCCTGAACAGCACCACACGCGCACAAGATGTTTTCTTCTACTGGTTAGAGACCCCATTCCTGCATGTTTGTCTTGCATTTTGGTACCTCGACCCTGATTCGATTTAGGGTCTTCCACACCGTATAATGAAGGCCTCCACCAAGAGCCAGTTCCTCCCTGGCTGGTATGGGAGGGTTAGTCAACGTGACCTCCCACCTTGTCACCCGATTGCTTGAGAGTGATCCATCCAGGACTCGTGTCCGTGATAAAAAGCTCTTTCTGGACCGAAGCCGTCGCTCTGCAGGTTGGTGGCCGTGTAATGGGTGACGAGGGTCTGTCTCTTGCTTAGTCCTTTCTGCGTCGGCAGCGACATTACGTCGGATTGATGGAGGGGCGATCCCTACGATAGGATAGAGTTTGTGTATGTGTACTGGGGTTGGTTTCAAACACCCAGTTACAATCCAAGCCATGTCATTGACTGCAATGTCAACCTTTTTTGCATGTGACAATGCATTCCATACTGGTGCAGCGTACTCCGCAGCCGACGCATTGAGCGCTAAAGCTGAGGTTCTGAGGAGAGGGTTAGCACCCCAGCATCTGCTGGTGAGCTTCCTGATGATATTATTCCTCGCTGAGACTTTACCTCTTGTCGCAATACAATGCGCCTTAAATGTCAGTGTGCGGTCTAGTATGACACCAAGATATTTGGGTGTAGGACAATGCTGAAGACGGTCTCCCCGCCACCTCACATTCAACTCACGGTCTGCTTCTCTATTTTTTAGGTGAAAGGCACAAACTTGGGTGCCTGGCACTGGCAAACGACTAATGAATGACTAGTTTCTCTACTGGCAATTAAATAGTCGGATCACTAGTTGTTTGAGCATCAATTTGTTTAACTTCTAAGTTTCAACAGAAAAAATCACTGTATTAGATATTGCTTTATATCATTTTATACAGGAGATTCTAACGTTTATTTTTATATATAGTTTGTTTGGTTACCGTGATGTAACAGTATTTTGAAAGTTGAGAATAAAAACCTAGAATGATGCAACTGTGTGTTTAGCATGGTGTGACATAACATTCTATAACATTTTTACATACAAATAATAATAAATATGACTTGTTTACTTTTTTCACCTAAAGAACCATTTTCAAAAAGTTTTGCATATCGTGGATTTCTAATTAAAAAATATTTAGTATTTTTCCCAAGCCTCTACCTTAGAAACATTTTACAGGCCCATTTACTTTTTTGTTTGTACTTACATGTAAAGAGTTCTATACAATTTCTTGGGATCTGACAATGGTTTAAATGTGTTCCCTCCTGAAAAATTAAATATATAATAGTAAACACTTCTGTATGGTAGAACACCATTTTACAACTTTAAAGTAACCTATGTAATGTACAATGTGCATACAGTAAAAATTATGGCCTGCCAGTACAGAGATTTGTAGCTGCCAGATGCAGGGTTAATGGGTGTTGGGATATTTTGGGTGTTTGGTGTGACAGCGAATTTCCCTATAGGGAAGTAGCTATTACCGTAGGTGGCACGGTATGACATGGATCCGGGACCGATTTACTTTTTCATTTTGATGTCCCAGAGACAAAAAACACGATTAGTTCAAATTTTTATATATGTATATCAATGAAAGTTAGTGAAGTTAGTGAAACTAATAAATTGTGTTTTTTAGTATAATATTAATAGCTTAGAAGAAAATAATTAAATTTGCCAAGTTTTATGAAAATATATCCATAAACAATCAAACTACAAAATTTTACAATATTCTCCTTAAGAATAACATGGGAATTTTGAATTAAATTTTTCCACCAATAACTGTACAAAACCCCTTTGATGTACTAAATTATTTGGTTTTTTAAGCTCTTTAAAAAGGTCTAGAGAGAAATTGGGAAATTTTGTGTTTTTAGGGTCAAAAATGAGAAAAACCAATTCTTTCCCCATAAAACCCTCCGCACACTCATTCAAGTTTATCTCGCCTTACACATTTAAACCAAATTTCATCAAAATCGGACACAAAATTGCTCAAGTTATAGCATTAACGGGACACACATACTTACTCTTCTATCCCTTGCCATTTCTGGATGACAGGAAGATACCAGTCTGAAGATGTCTTTCATTACTTGGTCTTCCAAGTGGTCGTCTACCTTGTAGTACTCCTTGGAATACACTTTTAAAAGTTGAAGTATCTTCTCTCCGCCATGCAAAGCCTGCCCAGCCCATCCGAGATCCGAGCCTTTTGGTCTACTTTTGGAATGTACCTCTTTATCAAGTTTCTGAATCATACAGTACTACTGGGATGGTTATGATATGGTATGACTCGATTTTGGTTTCTACTGACACCCTGCAGCTTACTGGTCAGTTTTCTGGAGACCTACTACACCTGTTGACATTTCCATTACGGATAAAATGTGTACTTTATGCAGTCATACTTATATTCAAACATCTAGAAAAAGATGTATCAACATGTAAACCACTCATATCTTAAAGGATTAAGCACTTATACTTGGACGGATTGCATTTATGACAAAACTTGATTATACGTTTAAAATGTTTAGTTCAAAATTACACAATCTCTTGATATCATAGATCTTTTACGGTAGAAAATAAACTGCATTTTAAAGTAAAATTGTGTGTAGGCAAACTCTGACGATCAATATTTTTGTATACAAACAACTTGTAACATAAACATTTCAATGACAGTTAGAAACCAGCTGTTAGTTAAACCACCACTAAAACGACTTTAACTCGTCCGTCGGCTGCTAGACTTTTTGAAAATTAAAACTTAATTTCTAAAACACTGAAACCCTAAACTAAAATTATGGCTTCGACATTCCCTAGTTCTCAAAATTATCTTTCTTTCAACACAAAAATCATAAAAATCCGTCAAGTGGTTGATTCAGAATCGTGAAATAAAAAAACCCTGTTTCGTTTTAATATACAGGATTTTATATACATAAATATATAAAAGAAATTTACGAATGGTGTTTTTGCCCTCTGGGGACATTAAAATGAAAAAGTATATTTTTCCTGGGCCTAGGTCTTACCGTGCCACCTATGGTAATAGCCACTTCCCTATAGGGAGATTCGCTAAAATGTGAAGGCTTTGTACACATCAAGATATTCTTGTCATTACCTCCTGATTATCATAGCTGAGGAGCAACAAAATGAGGATATTGTATGAAGAATAAAAAAATTTTTTGTCAACTTTAATTGGGTGGTCTGCAAACGGATCTTGTCTGAGATAAAGATAGGTTTTAATTTAACCTTTTTTACCGTTATATTTGAATAGGCAAACCAACTTATATTTTTAATCCAATTTTAACCTCGAGATGGAAAAATATTCATAAAAATATATGGGAGATCTATCATAGGCTTCTGACCGACAAAGTCGTGTGAAAATAATTTAATTAATATGTTTCAGGTCTAAACCAAATGAATGCATTTCGAGATGAATATTTGACAGAGTCTACTGCCATGTACATATACCCACCAGAAACAGATACAGAACTCTAGTGAAGTGATAGTGAAGTGACAGCTAGCTTAGTTAAATGTTTTATTTTTGTACATAATAGAAAAAACATTTTCGTTTTCGTTTTGTTAAGTTTTTATCTACTTGATGTAAATAAGAACAAAACTATATGTAAGTCATAGTTTTTTACCTCATATTAGAAACTTTTTTATACATCATAGTGTCTTGATATTTACATTGAATATTACTTAAATGTTTTACGTACATGTAGACTTTTAGGAGATAAGAAATTAACCAAAGGAGTTAAGGGTTTGAAATGAAAGTTGGAATTGAATTTTTAAACACAAGCTTCATCAATTATCCGGTTACATGCTGATTAATTATTGATTTGGTTCATAGAATATTTAGTCCATGTTCTAACAATACAAAAAGAATTGATTGTTTACTTTGTGATTATAAGAATGTATTACACTGGTTTAGTAATGTAGTTCTTTGTCAATTCAAAATTTCAGCTACATTACCTTTGTTAGTTGAATGTATTGCCTTGTGTTATTACTTTTCGTTTTAGTTTTACATGTATAGTATTTTGTGTGTGTTAAGCATTTGGTAAGAACGCTTTAATTTATTATCAAACTTTTGTATGTATTATCAGTTCCTAATACTCCTCTTTCTTCATAAATACTTGTTTCAAACACTTATTTGGTAGGTACTGTAACTATGTACATACTTTTAAAATAAATAATTACAAGCTAAACAACAAAAATTAATATATTCTATCCAGGCACAAAACAACAAATATAAGAGATTCACTTTTGAAGCCTAATGTCTAAAATATGTAAATCATACTATTAAAAACTGAGTTCAGTACCATCACAAACAACCTATAATGTTTCTTTTATTAAATACTGTATTTTAATTGTATTAATGCTTATTTTTGTATTGGCAAAAATGTTAACAATTGTAGTTTTGTAATGACTGGAGCATGCAAATTCCTTGTGAAGAGTCTTTTAGAATCAATCTTGGATTAAATAGAAACAAGTAAGATCAGTTAACTTTGAATATTTGACAGTAGGATACATTTATTTCATTTGTCTACAGATACGTTAAAGCCAACTTAAATTTTTCTTCCTTAACAATAACTTTCAACACTTACCTTTTATGTACAAAACAACTGTAAACTGTAAACTTTTAGATGATAAAACTGTATATTAAACCTAGTGTAAGAGATGTTAAATGGCGGATTTCCAATAGTTTTTATTTATTTGTACAATAATTTGACTGCTGTTTTTTTCAATCAGTGCCAAATATTAAAACAGTTTTATGAAAATGTCAATAATTAAACATCACATTATATTCTTTACAGACTGTTTTTTTTAGCATTCCTTAAACCCAGTCAGTTAGTGCAGCAGAACCCTGCTAATTCGACCTCTACTAGTCTACGGTCATACGGAGATTGGATAACATGACTGTTTCCCACACTCTCCATACATATTATTTATCCCTCGTGATCAGGGAAACACCATCATTGCCTCCCGTGATCACCGAAACTGTCGTTGTTATCTGCAAGTGGACCAAACTCCAGAACATCTCCTGCGGTAAAGGAAACATTTATCCTCATCTCCCGCAGTAGTGTAAAAATATTGAACAACCCCTGCAATAACAAAATCATCATCATAGTCTCCCGCGATTGTACGTGATCAATAAATGTCAGAGAAGCAATTATTTTGGTCATTAATATGCTCCTCGGATATTCTGAGCATTTTGCTGTTCTGGCCATTTTCCTGGTCCCGTAGGTGCAGTACTACTCCAAACATTTTACTCCAATGAATTTATTAACCCTTTTTGTGACACAGGGTAACTAGGCAATGAAGAACAACAATTAAATCTCTATACTTTATTAATCACCATTACTACATATGCAATTACTTCACAAGGCAAAGTTATGCTTAAAATAATGCTTAGGATTTTTACAATTTATTCTTTAAATTATCCAACAGCACCATGGCTGGGTCTGGGTGAGCTCTCAGATATTTTGAATGGTTGGAAATTATTGAGAGGTTTAGAATTGAGAGAATTATAACATGTTAAAAAACTTGGCTGACTTGACAATGCCCGAGGAAGTACTTAAATCTCAGGAGGTAAGTTTTTTGAAGAAGGTCAGGCAATATTTGACAATGCATTTGATACTTTTAATGACTTTTTTAACAGTAGTGCTAAGTTAGTTTAAGCTTTGAGATGACATTGTACTTACTCATCATCAATGTATGACTATTCTCTATGCACAAATTTGTATATTTATGGAGAAATAAAACTCTTTCTTTCTTTCTAAGTGCTGCCAGCAGGGATCGACAGAAGAATTATCTATCTCTCGGGCTGAAACCCATGAGTCGCAAATCCCCCACTCTTAGATTTACCATAGTCAAAATTTCCTTATTTGGCGAATCCTTGGAATAAAGGCTTTCTATTGGTCGGTCTAATTTTAAGACAGATTTGTACAACCACAGGATGTACTTATCTTTATGTTGGCACGTGGCAACTGATAATAATAACTGGACCCCTGGACACCACTAGTTCCATTTAAACAAAGATCCCGCCTTTGCTTTGAAAGGCTTAGGTTACCCTGGCAGAATCTCCCGCCCCAGCCCCATCATTATTCATATTCACTCTTGCTCATTCACTGGTAGCACGAGCTCCCGGCTTCTATGCTGACCATCGCACACACACATTCACTCGCCAATCACCATTCACAACTGGGGTAGCTTAAGTAAAGACCACTCGCTCCCCTTTTTCTAGGCTCAACACTTCTTTACTCAAATTTACCAACTGGCATTGTACACTATGCACTGTAGTATTTCCCCAGATACCCGGTCCTTCAAAAACTCTACTTATAACGTGCGCACCTAAAACTCCTCTTACGTCTAAATCTACGGATTGAACAAAAAAATATTTCAAGGAAAGCTAAGCTTTGGGATTCAGATGGCGCTTTCAGTTCTGCCCTGACCCTTATCTCACTTACCGGATCCAAAACCAATTTCTCAGAGAGGACCACCTGCCATACTACAATCTCCACTGGGATACGGATTAGGTGTTTCCCCCTCCAATGAATGGCCATCGTCACATAGTAATGGGTCTCCCTCAAACTCAATTTTGTCTTGTCTTAAATCAATAGCTCTTAAGATATCTAAACCCAAAAATCTTCCTTCATATGGTATTTTTAAGTGTCCGAAATGTTACAGGCTAATTTTTGTCCCCCTTACTGATAACTAATACCTAGAATTTCTAAATCGTTTCCTACTACTCCCTTGTAATCCACTAGTGCCACTAGTAGTACTCCACTAGTAATGATGTATTAACATCACACCCTTACTTACACACATTAATTTTAATCAAAGATTGACTACTGATGCCCTCCTTCAGCAGAGAGAGTATTGTCCCCGTATCCACTAACTCTCTATCTTCATTATTTTTTTATTATAAGGAGGTGGTGAGGGGAAAATTGAAAAAATACTTTAATTTCATTTAAGGTAGCTAAGACCTAAAGATTTAAGATAGCTGAAGATGTATAGTTGTTTTAATTTTAAAATAACTGAATAAAATCCTTTCATAAAACCACTAAAGAGCGACTTTATTATTTAACTTGGCAAATGATTATATTCTTATGTTTTAGATATATACATATATTTAACTTTTTACATAATTTATACAGGATATCACATAGGTTTCCCTTCAAGTATGATGGGGGTGTTTAAGAGGGTGTCGTCGAGGAGGTTTCTTTCTGGCCGGAGCGTAATGCAACTCCTTCTGTGGAGTATTACACCCTGTCTGGAGCATCGGAAACATATACTCCAGATCTATGTCGTACCTGTAACGGACACATGTAATCTATATAGTGTAAGCTTTTCTTGACTTTTTACAAGTAATTAACAGTTTTTTTTTTATGAAGAGGGCACAATAGTCATGGTGTTTTTTCAACTGGTCTTATGGTGATACCTGATAAAGAATGAAGAGAACTGCTGTATAAAGTTATTAATTAAAAACATTTCTTTCCTTAAACAGCAGTTAACAGTTCTAAGCTGTAGACATTCTACTTGTGTCGGCTAAGTAATTAAAGTTTCATATAAGTAGTATTATTGAGAATCAGAAATTTTGACCCATATTATTCATATTCATTTAGCAGAGCTTTACCTAGTTTACAAATTTCTAACTACAGTTACAGCTTTACCTAACATTAACTTTGTCTGATGTATCAGCCGTTGCAGATCAAAGGGTTAACCTGAGTTCAGGTCCGTTTTTGACCCTGTCAGCGCCCTAGGCACAACTAATAGTAGCGCCCATTTGTAATATATAAACAGAGTGTCCACACAATATGTCTACACACGGCCCCGAGGGATTATCAGAATTTTCCACGCAGAAGACGTTGATGATATCTACAGAGCCGCGAGGGATGATCCAAATATTGCCGTGACCACGGAAGGCTATGATAATGTCCACACAAACGCAGGAAACAGCAAGAATTTTGCCGCGATCGCAGAAGGCGATGATGATCAGACACCACACGACTGCGGTATATGATTAACATTTTGCGGCTATCGCGGGAAACAATAATTACGATGTCTTCACGACCGTAGGAGACGATTACGATATCTACAGGACCACGGGAGATACAATAATGATTTCTACACGGCCGCTAGGGATGATCAGAATTATGCCGCGATCGCTCAAGACAATGATAATGCCCATATGACCGTGGGAAATGATCAGCATTTTGCCTCATTCGCGGAAGACGATGATCTATACAATACATGGCCAAGGGAGTTTGAGATGAATACATTTTGCTGCAATTGCCGGAGGCGATTACTATGTACAAACAACCGCGGCGGACGATATAATGATGTCTTCACGGCCGCGAGTGGTGATCATTATTTTATCGCGATAGCACAAGACGATGTAATGTCCATACTACCGCGGGAAAAAGATCAGAATTTTGCCTCATTTGCGGAACACGATGATGATATCCACAAGAGGGCAGGAAATGATTAACAAAGCAATAATTATTATGTCTACACGACCATGGAAAATCGTTAGAATTTTGCCTCAATCGTGGGAGACAGTTACGATGTCTACACGGCCGGGAGGGATTATCAGAAGTTTACTGCGATCATGCATCCCCCAATTTTACAACCTCCAATTTTTTGGCACCCCCCAAAAAAGCCAATTGCCTCGCGCCCAAGACACGTGCCTATTCGGTAAATTGGCCCTGCCTGTTACAGCACACCCTTTCCTAGTCTTTAGCTTAATGCCAGTGGCAAATGGCTAGAATATACAAAACAAACAGACAACAGAAAAAATATGAAAAATCATCATATATACTTATTTGAATGGAAGGTTGTGGTTAGCACAATCCTAAGGGCCATGTTAAATGAGAGCTAATTTCGCGGAGCATTTAACAACACGATATCACCGGTTTATCAAGGCAGTGGTACATCCATAGTGCAGGTTATACGTAATGCATTGACATGGGCGAATCTGCGTTAGCCGGGCGCTGAGCGTTGCTTGTAACCAGCTGCGTTAACAACGAGGCAAACTCAACAGAGGACCACGTTATACCCAAAGTGTTGTTCGAAGCACACCTGACATGATTGGCCGTAACATTACAGCTTGTTTAAAAAATGATCATTTTGAACTGAGACGGCCAAGCAACCAGGGCTGGGCCACTTGTTAAGGATTGACGCAATGCTCGCGTTGTGATACAGTTTAGAAAAGAAAAAAACACATTCCATGAAACACTGGTAAGTATGTTTCTTGGGATGATATGAAAATATGTTATTTGTTATTATAAATTTGAAAACTGTATAACTAAAAGAGTTTCAAAAATTTGTAACAATCCTTAACAACTTAACTGGATGGTGTCCATAGTGAAAATAAGTAACTGACGTGATGACGTTGTGTCAGGTCTGTCTATAACAAAAGTACACGCTAGAAATGCATGGTTCCCGCTACCTTCGTAGCGTCAGATTACATGGAAATTTAGCTCCCTGTTTATTGTTACAAATGCTTCACGGCATTAGCGTTTGTATAACAGGGCCCTAACATCAGATTCAGAATCTATAACAAAACCACCGATACCTTCTATGAACATATCAGCTTTCCTTATGGTATAAACAGTAAAAATGATAATTCATACCGAGGTAACTTGTCTCTCAAGAACGAGATGACATTTGGAGGTAACCGAGAGGTTCTGGACATGATGAAGCTGGAGAGGTACCTCGGAGACTTAGATTTCTCAGCACAATGGAGCAGCAATGACCAGCTGGAGTAGTTGGAGTCCAGAACATATGTGTTGTACACTCCTTCATCTGCGGAAACATAGCATTCTGTTATATTATTACCGTGATTTCAGTTGGATCATTGACTTTTATATACTGAAGGTGACTTTATGGACCAGCTGTACCGTAGTCAATTTTTATAAAAAATAACATAATTTAATGATCCACTCATAGCGTGTGCTACAGTCTACAACAATATTTTCTACCTTCCTTATATTTTGTTTGCTATGTGACATAAAAAATGCTATTGTTCGGGATGAGTTGACGTTTTTTGGTTAAAAAGTTATAGTGTATTCAACAGAAATTGGTAATTTACAGTACTTCACCAAACTCTTCTGTCAGTGGCTCAATTCAAAATAAATGTTGATACTTAAACTAGCTGCAACTTCAAAATGGTAATGCAATGTCTAGTTCTATCTTTAGACAAAGGTTGAATGGAATGAATGTTTTTCTCAAACATTTGACACAATAACTCAACTCTTCAGTGGCTGTTTCCCACTGACGACACGATGCCGGTATGATACCGACACGACAAATCGGTAAACAATGTCGCAGTAACCACACAACTCTGGCCATCAGTACAGAACTGACCTCATTTTATTTTGCAGTGGGTGGCATAGCACGATGGCTGATTACAACAGAAGAATTCTATTTTCTTTTGTTATATATTATTTATTATATCAATTTTGAATTGATGCAATGATTAAAGTTTGCAACCATTATTTTATTTTTATTTGACCCCCAACTCACATCACTTTATTTTCGTTGTCCTCGCACGTTATGTCTCATAAACACAGCTTTGACTTTATCAATTTTATTCCACCGTTGTAATTTAAGCAGTAACCTACAGTACTCACAATGACACAAGAACGGCACCGGCAGGAGCAATGCTGCCAATGACAAGCCGACAACGTCCTACATACCTACCCAGAATTGAGCATGCACACAATATCTCTCTAAAACTCAATGTGCCATAACATTAAAAGTTACCTCATAAATTGTAATTACAAAAGTCTGGTTCGATCCTGAAAAAAGTTATGATATTTTAACGGTTCAAAACTAGACCTAGTTGTCCTTGATCGCAATTGGGCTTTTAATAATTCGTATCTGACTAAATAACCAGCCGTTTTTAATCAGTAACTTAACCAAAATGTTGGTTCCCACTTCTTACCAGATTTAAAAGCCACAAAGGTTTCTATAAGGCATTCAATAGTGAATTTTGTTTCTAAAAGCTTTGGCGGATGTGTTTAACTATTTTATACAACAGATGTGAAAATGTTATAAAGATCAAAATGTTTCTATTTTGTGTCCTCTTCCCGTTGCAAAGCACAGGTACAACAGCTAGTTAAAAATACCCCCGCCGCAGCAAACCTGCCGACTAAGCGAATTTCCAGTTGCCTGAATTGATTTTCAATTAAATGTATTTAATTAACATTAATTTTTATGAGTACATAGGCTTGCTGCTACAGGGAGGGTAAAAAAGTGTGTTTTTTAGAGAAATATTAATAACTTAGTATAAAATAAATAAATTTACCAAGTTTGATCAAAATATATCCATAAACAAGCAGACTACAACATTTTACAATATTCCCCATAAGAATAACATGGGAATTTTAAAATAACAATTATTTGAATTTTCTCCGTAACTAATAATAGTACAAAAACACTTTGATATACTAAATTATTTGTTTTTTTAAGCCCTTTAATAAGGTCTGAAGAGAAATTGGGAAATTTTGCGTTTGTAGGGTCAAAAATTAGAAAAACCAATTTTTACCCCATAAAACCCCCCGTAAAACCCCGTTCCCATGGTCCGATCATGCTGGTTCGCGAACTCATTCAAGTTTATCCCGCCTTACACCTTCAAACCAAATGTCATCAAAATCGGATAAAAATTACTCAAGTTATCGTGTTCACGGACACATATATATATATATAAATCTATATATATATATATACCTCTATATATATATATATATATATACATATATAAAAATTTGAACGAATGGTGTTTTTGGCCTCTGGGGACATCATAATGAAAAAGTAAATCGGTCCCGCACCTAGGTCTTACCATGCCACCTACGGTAATAGCTACTTCCCTATAGGGAAATTCGCTAATAATAAATTAAAACTTTAAATGGATCAATATGACAAAAATAACTATAGTCTCCATTTTTTCCTTATGACACTGACATAGCTTAACCACTACCTGACACTTGACACTACCTCTATGGCTGTACCTAGTGCCAAACCCCCTAGGTACAGGCTGTACCTAAGGGTTGCGGCACTATCACCTGGATAAAAACCATTAGTGATTCGGCGGGATTTGAACCCATCGGCATCAGGACCACGGGGACCTAAGTCCCGCGCTCTACTACTAGACCAGCTTCCTCCCCCAGATTATAGTCTGTATTGGACATGGTGGACATGATTGATGAAATCCAAACAACCCATCATACATAATTGTAATCCTACTAATACTCACAAGTCTCCTCCGCATGTATCCAGTGGGCCGGGTGACCCTGGTCTGGGATGACCCAGGTGATGTTACCCTCTAGAAGGTCATTGTCCGGGTCATCAGTGAAGCTGTATGTGAAGTTGAGGGAGACTTCATTACCTTGAGGACTCAGAGTCAGTACGGCTCTCATACACTTGTATTCTAGAGCTTCCTCTGAGCTGGCGTAGTACTGGACCACAAACCATTGCCCCATCATCTGCAAACATTCTCTGTTAATTGGGTGGTCATAATGTTTGACAATTTGAGTAACAATCACATTCGATCTTTTGGGAATAGGTCATTAAAATAAATAAATAAGGTCTTTATTCATGAGCGAATTTCAGTTACAAAACTTTTTACAAATTGACTCAAGTCTGGGGTAGTACATTACCAAAAACAATTGTCCAATAATCTGTAAATATTGTCCACTCAGTGGAGTAGCAAAACTAATTGTGTAGTTAAGTGGAAATAACAATAATAGCAGCCATCATACTTTCCATCCTACAATGGTAATTAATGTTTTTTTAATACGCACAAATAAACCAAATTATTGGCTGATTAAATTTTATTTTAAGCTTATTATTATTATTTGTAATAGAACTTTTCTTATTTATTCGTAACCAATTTATTCTATCTAAATAATTAAACACCTTAGTACTTGTTACAGAGGTATGTGTTACCAAATAAAATACTACTTTTACATAAACTATATTAATTTCAGTGACATCCTGGGAGACAGGATGCCATATCAGAAAGCACTTCCTTTTGGATAACACTAGTCACTACAGGCTTCTGTTGAGTTAGTTAACATTTAGATTCATTGTACTATCAAACTTGTAACACGTAACTAAAACAACTTTACACATCTCAACTTTTACAATCGCTTTACATACAAACTGATATTTGAAAACATAATAGATTTCATCAGAGAGGTCAGGGATATGACTAATGTATTCTGTGAATCAAAACCACCTGGAGGAATATTGTTGTGTGACCATGAACTGTTCAATCCAACTCAACAATGGCATTACTATAAAGTAGAGAAGAGGTGATACAGCAACGAATAAACAGTGTCATTGATGAATTATATTACACAATCAAAATCAAATAGTTTTGTCAAATATTGACATCGAAAATTTTTAGGAAAGTGATCCTAAACCTGTATTTTACCATAAGGATTACTGTGCTGTAATTATATCTTCTCTAGAGAGGGTTTTGCTACAAGTATTTAAATAGTAATCTATACAAAATAAATTAAAACATTAATAGTTTAGTCACAAAATTTAATGGGTGTGTGGGACTTCTATCTTGTGTGGCCAGGTTTAATTCCTGCCAATCTTCATTAGCTTTTACAGTTATATCATAATGCTGTGAATTGTTCAGATTCCGATCTAAGCTGCATCCACCTATCTATAAAACAACAAAAAACAAAAAATCTTCCCTCCACTAAAAAAATAAAATAAATAGCATAAGACATCTAGAATTTCCCAGGTAGTTCCGGGAAATGTCTAGGGTTCAAATGTGTATGGGGTTTTAGTCAATGTAAGAAAAAGACGGTCTAAAGCTGCATGAAATCTAAAGCAAGGGATGTTCGTGCAGTTTTTATGCTTGCCTCATGGTTTTTCGTACTATGTCATTTAGAATGAATTGCAACAGATTTTATTTTACATCAAATAACCCAATATACAGATGTGAGGCAACGTACTTACCAAAAGGGTGTAAGTTAACAGAAAATAGCTTAAAGAAACATTAAAGACCTGTTAATCAAATTAGATTATTAATGTTTTGCTAAAATGTGTTTCATCGATAATGTTTGATGCACCGCTATAGCATATCTTTCAGCATTAATGGACTAATTTTGCCTATATTAATTGTTAACATTAATATAATTTATAACAGTTTCTTTTAGCAGGATACTGAATTTAAAAAGGCTTGACTTATAGATATTTATACTTTTATAATATTTTTTATTCCTTGCCCTTCCTGTTTTTCCTACATATAAATTGCCACTCCATTTATTCGTTCGGGGTTTTCATTAATTATTTCAATCTTATTTTAATTATTCCAAACAAGTCAATCAAAATTCATTAACCAATGTTTATTTTTACTGTTTATTATTATTTAAGTTTAAATTACAATTCATTTAAATATTAAAAATTATCATATGTTATTAAATCACATTGTATCTTAAAGAATATTTCATTATTAAGATTGGCAACACTGTTAATGCAAGCAGTTTAAATGACTATAAAATTAATGTTCAACAATTTAATTATTTAAAAACAAAACATGTGACTGTGATGAAGAATGAACTGAAAGAAGATGATGCTAGTAAATTATTTTATCAAAGAAGAGAGTGTTACTATGAAGATTACAATTAAATTCAAGAAAATCGCTAAGTATATAAAATTTAGTATTAATCAAGATTCAAGAAGAACCGACAGTAAGTGATATTTATTTTATGTAAACAAAACAAATACAGTCTTATCCCACGATTAAAAACTAAATTTTATTAAAATTTTTACTCATCTATTTTAACCATTAAGCTAACTCAATCAATAAACAACTATCAAAATTTCATGACATGAATCCAATGAATCACACCTAAAGGAGAAGTTCTTCATTCATATCACCTAAACAAGGCACCAACACGTGTTGGGACAAACAGAGAATGAAGTAAGAATAAGACAGCTGACATCTAAATCCAAACACATGTTTCAACGGTTGTATGTCATAAAATCTCAACAGCTGTTCAAGTAAACATCAAAATGGCTTCTGAGATGGGAAAATATCCAGAATGAAATTAATGCTGTACAACTAGATTGGAACAGCCTCAAAAGTGTCTGTAATACTAGTATACGAAGAAGATTTTTTTAGTATCAACTTTACCTATCTCTATTATAAATTATTTGTATGAGTAAAACTTTATAGTGGACTTGACACAGTTCATTAAACTTAAACCTGAAATATTTATTTATAACGATGTAAAATAAATTTTTTATCTTACTTACTTTATCTGAATAACTTGGTTAAATATTATAAATATCATTGACATTGGCCTAAATCGTAAAAAATATGTTTCAATAAAACATGAGGTACATAAATGGGCAAGTATTGTTGATTGCTTGAAAACCTAAAAATAAATTGAGTTCAGAGATCGTATAATTTCTTGTAAGAAAAGTAGAAACCACCAATGATTGGAACGATATACAGTACTTAAAAAAACGTTTCAGTATTTTTTCACCTTTCAATTCTTTTGTAAAACTTATTAAATCTCAATGGACCTAGAGAGTTAACCTAAAATATGCAACAATTTTTTACCGATAACGTTTTAAGTCCCATCTCCAATCATTATAGTGAATCACTTAGACATCATGCTGTTATGTAGGAATCTGTTTCCGGTTCTGGTTTATGTTCATGCCATGCAGATCGCTGATTAGTGATTTGTTTGTCTGTTGCAACTCGTGGTTTGTCTAGTGTCTAGTGCCTGGCGCTTCTAATGCCCAAATTCCTCACACTCCCCCATTGGCGTCAATGACGTATGTGAAACACCCCGTACACATTTGTCTCTGTTCCCACGCCACGGGAGGCCTGATAAAAAATTGGAACTTCCCTTCCTGGTTTTTAAATATTTAGTCTGCGAGACAGAAGTTGATTCGTGAATTATGGTATCTTTAAAAATGTGTTAAAGGTTTAAATTAAAACATTGGAGCCTTACAAATATTCGTGTGTAACGAGAGATACATGCTTACCTAAAAACTTAACGTTTGTTAACCTAGGAACTGTTATAGTAGTTTACGCAACGATTGCGTAAAGATAGTGTTAACGACACGAGTAGAAAATTTAAGGTACTAGCCTTGGCGAGTGCCTTAAAGACTTCTACGAGTGTCGTTAACACTATTTACGCGAGTTGCGTACACTATTTTACCTACGATAGTGTTTTAATTACTAAAAATCACTACTCATAACTTATAAGAGAGGTTATGTTTTTGTTTATAACCTCTCATTGTCACTGACAGTGATGTACCGAAACATTGTATCAGACACTAATTGCACCGCTCAACAATTAAATTGGCCTGAACAGCTGATTAGTTGAATTTCGAATCATTACAATTTTACTTTTCTTCTCTCAATCCTTCAACCTCATTGGTCCGGTACCAGCGTTGTTATGAGTAAAACTATGCTGTTATGAAAGTAAACAATGCTGTTATGGGATACTTTTCAATTTTAAGAACTGTACTGAAACAGCTACTTTAAAAAACTGTCGTAGGTAAAGTTATCTTAAACTTTAAGAAGTAAACTTAAGTAGTGACTTAATATAAAGGTATATGACAAACAGATATTTATGGGATGGGAAACATGCCTCCATTATCAGTCGTGTGATACATAACAATTATTTACAACACAGTTGCGCATTCTCGAATAAGCTCAACTGTTTTGATAGTGTGTAAAATGGTCAGTTTTGCTTTTTGTTTCTTTTCTTTTTGCCTGTTTTAATTAGATTTGTTTAAATACTTTTGCTTTTTCAGAACGTATTTGCTGTTTTATAGAGCCTCCAGGCGTTGTCCAGTTTGTTTAGTATTTTGTCATGTTTGAAGTTCCTTTCCAACTGAGGACGTTGTGGAACTCCTGTTTTATTAATCATTGATTGAAACCACCTAATATATTTTTTATGTTTTTTTACTGGGTTTTAACAAGTTTTTTAATGCGCCTTAAATAATTTATTTCGTAAATAAATAGTTCATACTGTATATTTTCTAATCAAATGATGGTAAAGTACAAATAAAAAAAAATTATTTGACTATATCTATACTGTATAATGATGATTCAAATCATAACCGGGTATCGGTCCGAATAGGGACCATATCATAGGGGGGTCGGAATCACATATTTTTACTTTGGAAGTAGTGTCATAAGTTTCTTATGTGATATAGGATTTGAAGACTTAGCCTACTAAGCAATTACGATGTTTAGTACAATATAGAAGTAATTGCTTCTTAATAATATTATTGATAATATAAATGTTTTACAACATTTTAAAAAAGTTAGCCTTTTAGGCTTTTATCGGTTAAACCTTTTCTTATCTTCTTTGACCACAAAGTTGTCTTTTGCGGATTTTGGTAATACTAAAATAATTTAATTTGACTTTTAGATACCGTAGATTTCCATTTAGATTTCGATTTGTTATCTTCATTTTGATATCAAGATGCATCTTGTTTTCATATTCCTCTACCCTAATGAATAAGAATAGGTGCTAAGAGTAGGCTTCGTGTATTGAGGTTAGTTATGGATCACTTAGTTTATCATTCTGTAAATTGAGAGGTTCCGTTGATTCTAATGCCGTATCCTCAGCCTACATTTTGACAGATAACTGGTTAGTTTGGGAGATATAGCTATTTGTTTTCGCTGGGATGTTCAATGCATTAGAAATTTCGGCAAAATGCTTTTACGGTAATTTATAACCTTGTCTAGGATAATGATATCAAGAAATTAAAATCACTTATAAAACAATCATTCCACATACAAGAGCGCGTCAGGCCTACTCTTCTTGATTGTAATTACTGTTGGAGTCTACATGCAGCCACTCAACAATGAATTTAATTAAGCCCAATGTTATAGCAGGGGAGCGGGGCTTCAATTGATGACTAAATTACCCAAACCATTTCCTTAAACTCAAACTCCAGTCTGTATATTTGTGTTTGAATGATACAGCTGTTTATCTAAACTCTCCGATCTGTTTGACAAGTGTCTTTGGTTGGGTAATCATACAGATGCTATGTTTAGAAAACCCGTTAGGCTAATATTATTTAATCACTTTACTTTGGGCGATGTACGGTCTGTACATATTTTAAACTGGATATGAATGCTGAGTAATTGTGTGATGGAGTGGATTATATGTGTAGCTTAGTTAATGAATAAAATAACAGTTTTTTCCAATGACCAAGAACAGCTGTGTCTATTGTTGAACCATCAAACAGCTGGTACAGTTCTGACTTTTCTCATGATCTAACTGGAGACGTCAGGCAAGCAGAGTTCGTATATGCTAGGGCTGTAGTATGTTAGCAGGCTTTTTAGTATACGTTTTCGAATATAACTACAACACAACCTATTATTATAGTATACATATGTTTTGGATAGAAATGCAGAGTTTTTTGTTTGTTTTTTTTTTTTGTCCTAAGACGCTAGGCATGAGCCTGGGGTTGTTTTTCACATTACTTCAGGCTAGACCTAGGGGTTGCGGCATTATTACTTAGATAAAATCCGTTGGTGACTTTGCGGGGATCGAACCACAGAAAACATATAGTATTATGTTTTCTGTGATCGAACGCGGGACTTTAAGTCCCGCGCTCTAACCACTACGCCAGCTCGCTCCCCAGATTTGAAATGTAGAGATAGAAATGTAGAGTAGAAAAGAATTACCTAAACCATGTACATTTTTAAACCTAATATATGGACTAAGATTTTCAAATACAATTTATGCAGTAATATAGGTATTGCAAAGGTCAATTTTTTTTTGTTACTGGATACTGGAAAACTAAACATCATAAAGCTCTCGATTGACTCGAAGATTATGAAATATGAAATGAAGATGTCGATTTCCAAATCGTTTACTATACGTGAGAAATAAATTAATTAGGTTGCTCAACAGTATTATATACTGTACAGTATTTTAAACGTAAGGTATAAGCTAATGACCTAGTGAGTCCTAAATATCTTTGACCAGTGGTCTGTGTCAGTTCTTCGACAGTTTGAAACTGTAGCTACCTGTTCTTGACCGTAGGGCCTTACATTCGACGATCATTCTTGAATGATTATCAAATCTTACATGAACAATGATAAGAACATTTGTGATACATTTCACTCATTTGTTTTTTATAACTTCAATGGTATTCATAGAAAAATGCATATTTTTTGTGGACAAGTATAAATTCAAGTAATACTTTGAAGCTTGGTTGCGCAATAATGATTATCAAACCCTAGACCTAATTTGACATCGTTCATTTGTACGAGTATTTAAATAAAATTCACTGTAAATTGTATTGGTCCTTAGTAACACATGTAAAGTCATAATCATTTTAGAAGATTAATGGACACCTGCCGAGTGTATCTAAGCTTATTTTTCTGTGTACATAAGGTATTTATATGATCCGTGTTTTGAGGATACCAATTAACCATCCTGGATTGTTTTAACCATCTCTTAACAATTCTAAAACGACCTGTTATGTTTTAAAATCAATGTTCAATATATTCCATCATCGTATACAATGGATCAAATTCTAATGCATATACCTACACCAAATGAGATTCAATTGTGGAAGAATGTTATAAAATATGCTGTAAATGATTGTGATGTATTACACTTATATTAATCAGAACGTTTAGTGTTTCTAAATTTCCTCCCGCAGATGCCAACGTTTAATTCTTCTTTCATTGAAACACCACTTGCCACTGATGATACTGCAGGAAGTTGATGAATCAACATTGAAGTAACAATGGTTTCTGGTCTGGTTGGGAGCCAAAATTAGTCATACGATTTAAAGTAATATAAAACTATAATCAGCAGACACAATTATACCTACGAAATGAGGCTTGAAATATCACTTGAATATATTTATCGAATATATTCGGCCAATCGAAATTGATCACCACTTACCATCTTTTATATTTTACCGTCTTGTAAGTAATCAGTATAAGAGTAAATAAATTATTATAAAAGATATTTGAATATCTTTTTTACTTTCATATAAGTTAATAACTCGTACGATGCTGATCAAGAAGTTATTTAATATATTTATGTGTAAAGGATCGTTTTGGAGATTCCCTAGTCTTATGAAACAATAGTATTTAGGGCTTATATCGTAATCCAACTGCAATACTATGGCATGTTTACTATCATTGTGTTGAAACCGGGGACATTCAGTACTTTAACTTTGTTTACACTACAATCAAAGACTGCGAATTGTTAAGAGTTTATAAAACAAAAAGCTGAACATTTTGCGGGAATAAATGTCATGTATTATCTTTGTTTGCCATTTATATTACTAATGAAATATGAACTCTCTTTAAAGACCTTAAAACCGTTGATCGAGAAAGGGCCCTTCTTAGTTTTAGGTTACATTCTCTGAAAATAAATCTCGCCCGGTTTTATAATATGAATTTGAATGAATGATATCATAATCGATGTCTTCTGTCGTCGTAGGAGATAAAAATATTAATATTAAAATATTAGATAGTGAAAATATTAATATTACTATCCTTATCACGTAACACATTTTACACCTGATTAGATCAGCTCTTTCGCCTATATTTTGAAAAGCGATCTTTTATATGGAAACACGTCTAGTTACAATTCTGTACAATCACCTGCTCAAGGTCGAAGTTCCTGATGACCTTGACCTTTGGACACTTGCTCTTATCATCCCTCCGCTTGTAAGGTACTGCCAGGGTGGCCAGGGCGAGCACTAGGACGGCGAGGAGCCAGGGGGAAGTCATGGTGGCGACGACCATGCGGCACTAGGGAGTCTGATGATGGTGACGGCGCGGCGACCGACGACTGACTGATAGTAGGGCGGTGGAGGGGTAGTAGTGGGAGGGGGGGTTATTGTTGAGATAGAGAGGTTACTCTATGTAGATTAGGTATACAAAACACAAACTCTGCAATAGTGTCAATACAGTAGTTAAAAAATTCCATTAGCTATTAAGAATGTGTTCTGAATTCAGTTTACATTTGACATTGGGTTTGCAAAATAAAATTGTTTACACAAAATATTGTATGCATATAATTACAAACATAAGTAATATTGATATGGATAAATAACAAGACAACATATTTATTACTTAAATAAGACAATGATAACAGGTTAAGAATTAGATAAACTAATGATAACAGTAACAGGACAATTAACATGGACATGTTGGACAAACGACACTTTGTAGACAAAAATAAACAATTGTAGTGATTGTATCAGTATACATTGAAAAAAAAATCTTTGGAAAAATCCTCTTAGTTTAGGCAGACATTATTTCATATAGGAATTATCTCATGAACACAATACAAATCTCCAATACAATACAATTATACGCTGAAAGTCTGATGTGCACACAAAATGATTTAGCAATAAAATATACATAACTGGTCTAAACAATCAAGTATATGTCTTAGTTTTTAAATTTATGTATATACTACAGGTGTCAACAATTAAGACAATACTGGACTTATGTTTTCAACCTTCAAGAGTAAAATACTAGTCTCTACCATAAATGGTCCCAACAGTGACAAATATATTGATAGTCTTAATTAACAATAAAGAAGTATCGAAAATCAAGAATATGCAGCTAGTCTTAACAGTGAAGTATATTTCTTTCCTTAACAATAAAGATCTATATTGCTAAAATTTAAAGTTTACATTATTGCCTGCCTTAGTAATAAAGTACACATCCCTTATCTTGACAATTAGGTACACCAGTCTCGACAACACTGCAACTCGCTTTGTTCACTAACGACGATGCTGTCTTTGTTTATCTAATGACTCAATTTGACCTTTCCCCCTTGCCCACAATTACGACGTTGGAGGCTTTACTCCTTGTTTTTCTGACGCAAAATTTGTTCACTAGTCACTCTGACCCCAAAAAGAAACAACAAATAGATAATCTACTTCAAGTCGAAATATTGTTTTTATACTGGACAACCTGTGTAACGCTAAAAAGGTATTTAATGGACTGGTTCCTGAGTACTGCGTTTGATTATACAGGGTGTCCCGGAACTCTCTACCAATATTTTAGGGCATTGCTCCTGGGTAAGAAACATGCCTAAATATCATATTTAAATTGTCCGGAAGTCCTTAGTTACTCACACAGCCACCATTTTGTTTTTTCAGTTATTAATTTTTTTCTAAAGAATGGTTAAACATACGAAATGGAAACTTTGCACAAACATTTATGACAACTAGACAAAGCTACAAAAGAATTATGACGATTTTTCAAATTCATAAAACAAAATGGCGGGAATTTAAAATTTTGTTTCTTAATTAACTCAAAAACCGTTGATTTTACAAAAATTGTAAATGACCACCATTTTGTTCTATGAATTTGAAAAATCTTCATAATTTTTTGGTAGCTTTGTCTTGTTGTCATAAATGTTTGTGCAAAGTTTCCTTAATAACTGAAAAAACAAAATGGTGGCTGTGTGAGTAACTAAGGACTTCCGGAAAATTTAAATATGATATTTAGGCATGTTTCTTACCCAGGAGCAATGCCCTAAAATATTGGTAAAGAGTTCCAAGACACCCTGTATATATCGTATTCACTAAATGGTGTGTCATAAGATATATGTCAACAGAATATCCATACGATGTATTCGTATATATCGTTTGGATATTGCTGAAAAAATAATTTACAAGGTTCTAGAATAGTTTCTAGTACCTTGTAAATTAATTATTCAGCATACAAGTAAGTGTTTATTAAATTAAATTTAGGCTGTCTCTAGGCCGACTATTATTACATACCTCTAAAAGGAAAAGCTAGTTTTACCATCGTTATAGATTACAGACAATAACTGTTTGGTACGGTCAAGACCGAATAGTTTGCTTTTGGTTATCGTAAGACATTCAAACAACTGCAAAAACCTATTACTGCTTCGAAATAAATTTAAAATTAAACATGGAATAAACATTCCACTCAAGAACATTTGATCACGCCATTCCTTCTTGTGAATGTTGACTTAACTGAGAGAAAACATATGTCTGTGAAACATAATATACGTCAGCTGTCACCAGCACTTCCAAACTGTTTGTCCAAATCATGCATGAACTTCTACTTTATTTAGACGTTAAATATAGCAGGTGAGTATGACGGATTTCAAGCTAATCAATTCTTAAATTGTTTACTTATCTGTAGATATATTTTTGTTCTTTAGTTAATACGATAGTTTGTTGATTTCTTGGTTGATTAATTCATTCATTACGACAAATATTGTGATGGAAGGACACACAAACATATTTTGTGAATCAGATAAAGCTAACAAAATACATGCTTGACGTACTCAGCACTGTTTATTTTTGTATGTCTTTTCATAACGGAAAAAGCCTCTGGGCTAATTTAAATTTGACTAAAAATACTAAGATTCTGAGCGTTGTTGGTTTTGCAGATTGACGGATTGATAGTTTCCGTAGCGCTCTTTACAGGCCTTAATGTCCCTAACTGGGGCTTAAAAGTGAATATTCATTAGTTTTCTTTCAAATATACGAAGCAAAGTTTTTTCTGAACTATTGATTTTTAGTGTACCTAAATAAAATTGCGTATTTTGTCGTATAACATAGTAAATATTCTACACCCATTCCTCTTAGGTGAATACAGAGGTATTGCCATTGATCATGGAAAATAGGTGGTGTTTTCTGTAATGGTGAAACTACAGTTGGTGTTCTTAATCAGTCGTTCATGATTCTGAAGACATTAAATTACGGTTGCATTAAATATTTATTTTTAATAATCACTTAATTAAAAATCACAATACAATAGTTAATATGATGACCACCAACAGTTATGACTAAGTTTTAACTATAACCACAAAAACCTGAATGAAAAGCAATAAATGTATTTTTTAAACGTTAAATGATCGTGATAAATCACAAAATACTTAATTTAGAACAATGCCGGCACTTTTGTTGGTAAATAATATTATTTTTAAGAATATTAATAGATGTAGCAAAAAAAAAAGACTTTGAATATATGAAAAATAATTGGGCAATCAAACTGAGTTTATTTAGAAGCTTAACAGAAATAGTACTGCCTAATTATTTACATACTGATTAATTAATACGGTAGTGTGCTAGTATCCATGTTTTCTTTTTATCACAAAACTCAAGCCTGCTTTAAGATGAAAACTTTGTGGCAAGCCCATCTGTAAAGCGTGTAGCGTTTCGTCCAAATGAAGGAACTACTTAAAATGAATTGTTATCAAACTCAGATTTGTTATTAAACTCAACATTGGGAACACATAAAAAAAAATTAAAAAGTCTTGATTTACAAAAGCTGTGTTTTGTATTTTATCCTAAATATATAAACAATTTGTCCCTCATAAAATATTTTTCTGTAAAAATGTATCTTCAAATTACTTTAATAACAACACTTTTAAACGCCAAAAAATATTTACGTAATAGTAGTTTACGCAACGATTGCGTTAAGTTAGTCTTTACGACACGAGTAGAAAATTTAAGTTAATTTAAATTAACTTAAAAACTTCTACGAGTGTCGAAAAGACTATTAACGCGAGTTGCGTACACTACTTTACCTACGACCGTTTTTTAATTACTAAAAATCTGGTTTTTCATTACTAACAATCACTACTCATAACTTCCTAGAGAGGTTATATTTTCGTTTATTGTCATTGTCTGAAAGTGATGCAACGACTTATTGTATAATCAGCTGATTTCATGTAATTACGTGTTTGTAAAACTTTGTTAAATAATACGTTACTTTTTCAGGGAATAGGTTCTGCTAGCAGCATTCTTACCATAAATAATGTATCAGGTACAATAAGGGAAATATTGCATATATTTTTGGACAACTGAATAATATAGTGAAACAGTTAATTTACAGTTAGATCTCAGCATCGAATATGTGGTCCACAACGAGTTGGGTGAAAAAGTGGTTAAGAGGTTTTCAAAATAAACCAGAAGAACATTTTCATTTATCAATTTAACCTTATTTTGTTTCGTCCATTTAATGAATTGCTGGTATGTAATTGCATATGGTATTTTTGTTTTGATTTTGATGGCAAAAGATTAGCACAAACAGTTTGTGCTCTCATTTCTATCTCGTCAACATCACTTTCACTAACTGATGTTTTAAAATCAACCTTCATTTAACTTCCACCAACTTAGGTTAAGAATACGCGAGTATCAACAGGAACAAGCTGATCAGCTGATTAGTTGACGTTCGAAGTATTACAATTGTACTTCTTTTCTCTCAATCCTTGAACCTCATTGGTCCGTTACCCTTGTTGATATGAGAAAAACTATGCTGATATGAAATGAAACTATGCTGATATGAAAGTAAACAGCTGTTAAGTGAAACTTTTCAATTTTAAGAACTGAACTGAAATGGCTACTTTAAAAAACGGTCGTAGGTAAAAATATAAATTACACAAGTTTTTTAGAGACATTTCGTAAAATACTAACAATAGCACGTATAAGGATGGATCCAAATATACAGAACATTTTAATTAATCCGTTGATAAAATATCATCTCTAAACTATTAGGTAACTTGGTTTTTCGTCCCTTGCACAAGAAACATAAAAAGAGTCACAAGAAACCATTCAACTGCTCAATAATAGCAACGTGCTTTTAGTCATTTAGGAAGAAATTTAATACTGTGATTGAAATTATAAACATCACTGCACCACGTTATATTTCACTGGGTTGTAATAGACTGATTCGTTGAAATATGAATAATGGGTTTCCCATGCATTATACGCCTAGGAAGACTACAGCTGCAGCATTGAAGACGTGTTCGAGATTACCTGGAGCTACTGTGTAGGGAGATTCGCAA